CAAAGCTGTTGACACCAAACTGCACTAACAGTCACTACACTGCTCACTGCCGTTCACTGGCAGTACAGCCTCTGCGAGTTTCACTAAGAATGCCTGACGTGGTGCAGCACACTCGTAATTCCAGCACTCAAGAGGCTGAAGGCAGGAAGACGATAAGGCCCCGCTGGGCTACTTAACAAGGCCCTGGGTCCAAAAAATATGTACTTTTTTTTTGGTGTTACTGAGGATTGAATCCAGGGTCCACAGAGCTCCACTCCACACCTTCTTAATATTGCATGTGACTACATGGGAGGCAGGAATAATGCACTTCCACACATAGCTGAGGCCAAAGGAAAAGTACCTGCACGATTTGAGCTGAAATGTAACTGACCACTTTGTACTCTTTGTTCTTTTAAGAGTGACTGGTAGGTAATTTCAGACTTGAATATGTGGCAGATACTTTCTCAAAAATGAAATGTCTATTATTTCAAGAAAAATTGTATTTTTTGACAATGGTAAAATCAAAATTTCAAGGAAAAATCATTATTTTTGGAAGTTCTCATTTACCACCATGAGACTTTGAGATCAACTATGAAAGTGACAGATGTGTTTTTTTATATATAAGGAAATATACCGACATTTAGAAGACCTACATAATTCAGTAAAGTCAAATTTTCCAAATGACCAATATAGGATACTACAAACTGTGCCTATGTAAAAAATAACTTTCTTTACAGGTTTAAAGTATATAATGGACCAACAGATTCTTAGTGTAATAGAAAAAAACTTCATTGATACTGTTTTTGAATCCACACTGTATCTCTCTTCTAAGAAACTACCACTTATCAAGTTTCACTGTAATATCAAAGAATATCCTTACTTACCTCAAAAGGGTATTAGAATACTTCGTTTTAAAAAAATGTCCATGAAAGGGTGGATTTTCTGTATATACTTCATATCACAACAGACTGCATGTAGAAATACTTATGTGAATTCTGCTCCCTTTTTTATGCTGAACGTTGTAAAGATAATTTCAAAAACTCTACAAAATTCTTCTCAATGAGTATTTTGTGGGAAATACAATAACATTTCATGAAAATGTGATGTTTATGTTAACATGTAATGGATTTAATATTTTAAATTAATTTTCTATTAATTTACTCTAACTTCTTTCATTTTAATTTCTAATACAGTAAATACTGATAGATATAATCTGTATTTGTATAATCCATAAAGTCTTTCATCTTTTTTTAAGTGCGAAGTGGTCCTCAGACAAAAGAAAGATTGAAAATCATGCATTCGTACAGCCATTTGATCTTTAAAAAAGGAGCAAAAACTATACGCAAGGTAGATAGCCTCTTTAATAAACAGTGCTGAGACAACTGGATATCCACATGCAAAGACTGAGTCTAGACCCACATATCTCACTGTGTACTAAACTAAAATCAAAATCTATCAAAGATCTAAATGTTAAAACAGAAATAATCTACTAGAAGATAGAACAGGTCCAACTGTTGAAGACATGGATATAGGCAAGGACTTTATGAACAGAACCCCACTGCTACAAGAAATAATACCAAGAATCAACAAATGGGATCATATCAAATTAAAAGGCTTCTGTACAGAAAAGAAAAAAATCAACAGAGTGGACAGACCATCTATGAGTGAGTGAGAAAAAGGTTCTGCCAGCTACTCCTCAGACAGAGGACTAACATCAAGAATACATGAAGAACTCAAAAAGAAACTAGACCCTCCCCCAATAAAAGATCCAATCAAAAGAAAAAATGACAATTAGGAGATAGTACCTTGCTGTTCACCAGCAGGCCTTGGAGATAGCTTTCATAAGTCACACGACCTGCTGTCCCCGTTTCCCTGAGACTTTGCTGGCTTTACCCCTGACAGTCTTGCGTCCCAGGAATGCCTTTAGTTTTGGGCAAAATGACACCCTCTTCCCAAATCTCAGCTTTACTGAATGCCTCTAAATCAAGAATTTGGTTTCTCTATTACAAAGGTGAGCTGGAGTCAATTATTAAGTCTCTTTGACAAGAAAACCTGAGGCTAAAAAATGAGAAGATCATAACAAACACTAAGGATACACACAGGGATACTGAGAGAAGCCACATGAGCATGCACACACTCACACACACATGAAGATACTTCTCAGAAATATGAATGGCCAATAATTACATGAAAAAATGCTCATCACTGCTGACCATAGCAGGAATGCAAATTAAAACTATACTGAAATACCACCTTACCCCAGAAAGAATGGCTAGCATCAAAAAACCTAATAACAAATGCTTACAAGGCTGTGGGAGGGAAAGGAACTCTACTACATTGTTGGTGGAAATGTAAACTAGTACAACCACCATGGAAATCAGTGTGGAGACTCCTCAGAAAAGTAAAACTACACATTCCATTTGACCCAGCTATCTTCCTTCTAGGTATCTTCCCAAAACAGTTAAAATCATAATAGTCACATGCATATCCATGTATACAGCAGCACAATTTATAACAGCTAGATTCTTTTTTTCTTTTGGTACTGGGAATTGAACTCAGGACCTTGTGCTTGCCAGGCAGGCGCTGTGCCACTGAGCTACATCACCAGACTCTAAAAGCTAGATTTTTGAAACAGCATATATATTCATCAATGAAAGAATGGCTAAGGAAAATGTAATACCTATACACAACAGAGTACTAAGTTGCCATGAAGAGATAAAGCTGAGGCATTCATTCGCAAATAGATGCAACTTGAGAACATAATGTTAAGTGAAAGAAGTCAGACACACAAGCTCAAATATGGCATGGTTTCTCTTACGTGAGAAATACGAAGAACAAAATAGAAGACAGATAAGTAGGAAATACGGAGAAATTCAAATACTTCTCCAAACTACAAATTCTGTTTCAAAAATATTTCAATATATATGCTAATTGGTTGCATTTATACTACTAGTTTATCTTAGTTTGGTAAAAAAGAAAAGCTTGAGTCATGTTTGTCCTTTTTTCTTTTGTTTTTTTGAAACAGGGTCTTGCTATGTAGTTTAGGCTGGCCTCAAACTCACAGTGATCCTCCTGCCTCAGCCTTCTGAGTGCTGGAATTACAGACGTGCACCACCACATTCAGCCTTGCTTCTCTTTTTTGTAGAAATCTTTTTTGTTGATGTCTTGTAGTCTGAGTAACTACTTTGAAGATAATGATACACAGTGTAAAAACTATTGCTATTTTCTTATTATTTGATTATATAATTTTGTTTTATTTTTTCATAAAATATTTAAAAATCACTCCATTACATCATGTTCCTGCTTATAATATTTAAAATGATAGTTTTTTAAACTCTGCACAGATACTTTCAAAAATTTTATGATTATCAAGATGTACCCTAATTACGGTTTCTGATCAGTGTGTATTCAGAGAAGTCCAATCAAGTGATCATATACACAAAGAGCTCCTCTAAAACAAAATGCTCGTAAAAGCAGCTTTAGTTATATAGGTAAGTCTAAAAACACCCTAAGCAATGAGGGAAAAGAGAGCACCATCTACCTTAAATACTCTCCTAGCAAGGTCCTCACTGATACTCAACTAATGATGATGTTTTACTAGTAATAAGAAGTGAAACAAACATATTCCTTGACAGCTAAAATTGATGGAGTGTTTTTAACTAGTCACAAGAATTGTCCTTGACATTATACAAAAAATGGGAAACATCTCTCTCTCTAGCTATTTGTATGTAATATTTTATGATAATCATCAAGGAAACATCAAATTTAATTAAAAAGCAACCTTTAGCTTGGCATGGTGGCACATGCCTGTAATTTTAGCACTTGGGGAAGCTGAGGCAGGAGGATCATAAGTTTGAGCCAAGCCTGGGCAATCTAGCAATTTAGTGAGACACTATCTCAAAATTTAAAAATTTCAGAGATGTTGGGGATGTAGCTCAGTGTGGAGACTCTGGGTTCAATCCCCAGTATCACAACAAAACAACAAAAACCCAAAAAAGCTATTTTTAAATATTTTCGAACATCAGGATAACCCTGTTATTTTTCAAGTCTATATTAAACCTTTGGTGAAATGGTCCTCTGGCTTAAAGAGAGCGAGAAAAGGAAAATTTACTGCTCAGAGGCAAACACCATTTTATTTTCTCCATTCTATTAAAAGATGGCTATTTAAGAGCAAGTGGAAATGGTATGAGCATTATTTGTTCTATCAGACATATGTGTTATGCTTTTAAACAGAAAAAAGAATAAATTAGGTTAATTTCCAACAGAGATAAGGCTGTAAACACTTTTTTGAATATTCTTAATTTTTAAAATGTTTAACTAAAAGACCTTACAAAATACAGTACTAAACATTTTTTGTTCTTAGCTGTGTCATATGTGTTCTGAATGCCTAAAAACTAAAATGCTATCCCCAAAATGAGTCAAATTAAACCCGTATTTCAAAACCAAAATGTAGAAAACATCAAGTCAGTGAGCCTTCTGAGTTGAAATAGCACCCATAAAAGCACAAAAATGTTCATATGTTAGGAAGCTCAGCTTTGGGAATAGGAATGGTGATAAAAATATCATATTTTTCATTTAGGGTAGTATTAAACCAAAGTTATCTTCAAGTGAGCCATAAAAGCTGGCCCGTTAATTCTACTGAATTATAAACTTAAAGATGGTGAAAGGGCAAATTTTATGTCACATCTATTTTACCAAAATTTTAAAAAATTAATGTAATATACCAAAACCCAATAGAGTGTACACTTTAAATGGATACAGTATAGGATATGTGATGTGATTTGTATCTTAGCAAAACTCTTCAAAAAAAAACGACAAAGTTGCCCTGCTTCTGGGAGAATCCTGGCTGCTAGCTTACTGAGAGGCTCATGTATTGTACAGGAAAGACACGCCAAGAAGTGGGTAGACTTTTGAGAGTCACTGCCATTAAGATTAGTTATAAGCTATAAGCTCCTTGACTCTTCTCAAATAATCTGTGTAAGACAATAAAAATGCATACAAATAAAAAGTCACATACTTGGTTCCTTTAAGCTTATTTAATATTTGAACTCTTATTTTCTATTTTCCCAGGCCCCAGAAAACAGAAAGTTTTTAGATGACCAATAGTTTGTTCCAGAAACATACAGGCTTATTAGCTAATTCATAAAAGAGCTATTTTACAAAGGTATATCCGGATAATTAGAACAATAAAGTCTTTTAGGTATTTCAAAATGTGATCAGTAAAAATACATGATTATTAATAAAGTTTTTTTAAGGATAGTTCCAGATTTTTTAAAAAGCAATTTCTGTTAAAGAGTACATGATTGTATGGTGAACAAGGAAAATAAAATGTTCTAGTAGGAAGAGGCTTATTAAAAATACCCAACAGTGTGCACATTATAGTTACCATTTTTGAAGTACATCTGCTTAGCAGTTGGCACCTGGAAATGGCAGGGGGGCTTCCTTCGAGGAGGTACATTTTTTCCCTACTAATTTATTACCAAAACCCTCAGTTTTAGTGGTGAAGGTATGGGGAATAAGACAAAAGAAATTCTTGAAGAAAGAATAATTTTGCAGATCACTCTGAAAAGGTGGCAATGTCAGAAAAGCACCACTTATAAAACAAAATGGGGGAGGGGATTAGCCCATAGGAGTTCCTGATCATTTTGTATGTTAAGGTCTTATGCACTAGTTCTCAGTGGTGTCCTCTATGACAAGTGGGACGGGAAACACTGACCAACACTAGTAGTTCCAAATAACATCACACAGAAACTTCACAGACGGGAGCTTCCACTGGGAAATACGGATGCCCCAGGTAATGCATCAAATTCACAAAATGTCAAAAAAGACGCAGGTAAATGACAACTTGCAGGAAGCATAATTATTTTCTTTTGCTTCTAAAAATCAGGGAAGAAAAGTACCTTTTTCCTCTACTATCACAGTAGCTCTTTCTCCCTCCCCAAAATATAGTAAGAAACTAATAAAGGGGAACTTACTTTATAACAGTCATTAGAAGTTGTTTTGGGGAAAAGAAAGCCAAAAATCTCATAAAATGTACCTCCCATGCAATATAATAATAGTTATGGTTTAAATTCTAAAAGCCAACATAACTCTAACAGTCCAAGTTAGCTGATTTTAAAGTATATAAAATGTATGGTGAGAACGATAATCAATTTTAAATTATAGCACTTTGGGGGCTTTGCTGATTGCCTTGATTAAGTCTGTTCTCTGAAAAGGAAGGAGACACTTCAAATGTAATTTGGCACTTAATAGCAAACGAAGGAGCCAGTAAGCCCACTAGAGAGCTGAGTGTCACTGCAGGTCACTCCCATAGCTAACCCACAGCTTGCTCACTTTGGGAAGGCTTTTTTTTCCACTTCCTTGTACTCTTCAGCACAAGAGTAGCTTCTAACTTCTAGTCATATAACTTAAATCACTTTGAGATGAGAACCAGTCTCACTCAAAGATGGGGAAAATATCTAATTCAATCATCCTGAGAGGGAGACAGGAGAATCTTGTGGATATGATTATAATGGCCAAAATGAAATGGAAGGCATGGGAGGCCAGGTTGGGAGGGAGAAAGGAAAAAGCTAGGATAAGACAAAAGGAACGCTCAAAATGGCGGTCTTCCCCCACCGCCCCCCCGCCCAGAATTAACTTGTCTTGGGGCTTCATTTGAAAATCTAATTTATTTGGAAGTATTAGAGCTAGAGTCTATTTTTTCAGTTAGCTCTGTTACAGTGCAAAGGAGAGAAAATGAAAAATAATCACAAAGTACAAGATAATGGCTGATCTGGAGGAGCAACCAAAACTTCATTCAAGTTTTTTGAGTGCTAGGGAATTATGCAGTGACCTGTAGTGTCTGAAGTTAAGAGGAAAGCTTTATTACATTTACCTTTCTCCTGACTATCTCCTGATAGTTTAGTGTCTAATGGCTACAGGTATAACCCTTTTCCTTGGGAGTGACAATATTTCCAGCAGCACAATATAACCATTTGGTTTCTACTTGATTCTCCTAAGAGATACAGAAAGTTCCAAATTCCAAGCTTCACTTATATATTAGCCTCTGCTTCTAAAATTTTAAATCCCATTCTGATTAAATTATACTTGGCCTATGACTAGAAATATAATTCCAATTGATAGATGAGGTACAAAGATAAAAGTGATCTACCTAAAATCAGGTCAATTTTGAAGGACAGAAACAGGAATCTGGACACGAATACATGAGCTTGTTAAGTTGTAGTGGTGTTTATAAAAGTTGGGAATCCTTACCATTTATGGTGAGGGAAAAACTTCCCTTTGGAGTAGGGTTGGGGGGACTGTCGGAAAGAATAAAATTACATCCCGACTACCCACAGAATCGCTGGCACTACTGAAAGATGTAAGCAATGGATGAATGAACTCCTTGTTTATTAACAGAATTTACAGATTAACAAATGATTTTGTTTTAGTTGGCAAAATACTTCAATAATATTTATCTAATGCACAAAGAAAATCAGACATCTGATGTAATGAAAGGAGTTCTCAAGTTACAATTCTGACACATTGATCCTCTGTAGGTGCTGCCAATGCTGCTATTATTCATCCTAGAGCAGGCAGTTACCAACACTGTGCCTGCAGTATCCAGTGTATGTTCTGGTCTGCACTTCCTAAGGTCATTTGTGGCCCAGTGTGAACAGAGCTGCAGTGGTAAAGTCAGAGGAAGTGCTTCTGGAGCTGGTGTAAGCAGTTCTGCCTCCTCCACCACATCTCTCTCCACTCCACCGCTGGCTCTCCTTGTGACTCAATGAGCCCTTTGGCACCATCAGTGCAAAAAATTAGAGTCAAACCTCCAGGTACTATTATTTTACTGGCCTTATAATCAGCAGTACCGGTGGCTAACAACAGCCATGGTTCAACTCAGTAGTGATTCAGTTTAGATAACCTTCCCAAACTCTTTACCCACCCCATCCCGCCCTTCCTTAGCAACCCCCACCACCACGGAAGCGTTTCCATTTGTTTGTTCTTACTTCCTGCTCAATCTGCAGGGATGGTTTTACACAAGTGCCAAAGTCTAATGTATAATTATAAAAATGAAACAATACCAAGAATAACAAATTTATAATCAAGAAAATAAAAATTTGCTTTCTTTCCCCTCCCAAATCCCAACCCTCAATAAAAAGACAATAGAAGAAAATACACCCATTTTCAAGTGGCTGCTATTTAGAACATTGAGGATTCTTGTTAATTGGGGTTGGATTCCAGCTAGAGAAGTACTTGCCTCAGGGTGGGAGGAAGCCCACATACTCTGATCACCTGGGCAGCATATAGCTTGAGTCCTCTGCACCTAAGGGCCACAGAGCACACTGTGCCTTTAAGATCACCCTCAGAAAAGTAGTGTACTGGGCAGCAGAGGGCATGGCATAGACTTTAGTAAAGGTGAGATGTTTCTCCTCCCTTCCCCTTCTCGCTTCCTCTTTTGTATCATCTCTCTACCAACCTTCTCATACCCCATCCTGACCTCTGCTTCAGGAGCAATTGATCCTTGGGTGTCCTAAATACAAAAGGCTAAAACTCTCACTACTTAAAACAAAACAAGGCAAATAAAAATTAAAATGTGCTTTCAAATATGGAATGAGTCAAATAAATACATCTGATTTTCTCTTTTTCTTATGTCTAAGTACAATTTTATATACTACACCCAAAGCTCTATACATTTGGTTTTTGTTCTGAATCAAAATGACTTTCCAACAGTGAGGAGAGGAGAGTGAGGCAATGGACATTCCCTCACTGACAGACCAGTGCAGCTGCCAGACTGTGAAGAACTAGTCCCGCTCTGGGCACCTTGGGACACTGCTAATCCCTGCTGGTTCTCAGGCAGGTCCTCTAGCACACTATCTCTGCGTCCACACTGGAGCCAGGATGTGGTTGATACAAGGCCGATGCTCAAAATCCAACAACCTGCAGTCACCTCCAGGACATTCGGCTCTAACTTTTATCTGAGAAGAATAAAGATACATGCAAACTGGGTTAAGAACAAATGAATATGGAAAAAAACAACCAAACAACAACAAAATTCCAAAAAGAATGTATGAAATCTGTGGGCATGGTTATGTGTTTGTTTCTAAATCAGAATAGTGCCTTCTAAAAGTATCCAAGCTAAAGACTATGAATTGTGGCAGTAACACAGACTCATATGGGGTCAAAGGGAGACGCTGGCCTCAATGTCAGCAGAGGCACTGAAGCATATAGCAGGACCTTAGGAAGACCAGTTCTCCTTGCTGCGGAGTCACAGTAGCATCAGCACATCACAATTAATTTATGATTTATACGGTGTCCTGATGCTTGTGCTTTTGAAAAGGTGAAGAGCAAGAAAGAAGGGTAGCATGAGAACTGACAACTGCAGTTCTTCTGAGAGAAGGAAGAGCAGAGTCAGCAGACAAGAGCCTTTGCTTGACGTATGATATTTAGAAACATGCAGTTTTTAAAACCAGAAAAGAAATGGAATCTCAGGAGGTTTTCATTTTAAAGAATAATAGATCTGCTTATTCAGTGTACTGTTTTAGCAGGATGATTCTAGAGTCAGAGACCCACAGTTTCATATACCTGAGTGCTTGTCTGTGAGGGCTGATCCAGCCAGCCTTTGGCAAAGAAGGATGTAGCTTTCCTCCACCTTCTGTAAAATAAAAGCCATGGGCTTTTCATTTGGACAGCATAAGAAAAACAAAAAACTGTTCAAAGTAGGAAACAAGGCATTTTTACACTATAGGTACATGCACCCAAATTTCAACATTAATATTAATCATTAATAATTTTGTTAATGTGTGCAGGGAAAGTAAATTTCCTTTTCTCATTTCTACTTGCTTCAAATATTCTCAGGGAAAAAAAGCGTGTATAGGGACAGGGATGGCAGGAAAGGCAATTCTCCCACCCCAGCAATCACCCTACACACGGCCTCATGTCATGTGGTATAAACTACATGAGAGCCAACCTGCCCACAATGGCCTTCTGGCTATTTCATTTTATGTATGATATTACATTTAGTCATATGAAAATCTATTATCTGAAGTTAAAAAAATTAAGGGTTCAATCCTTAATCAAGAGCACCACCCTTTTAAACCAGTCCCTAAAGCCTTCCAACTAAATGATGTGATGAAATACATGTGAGCTCTAGTAGCTGTGTCTACAGAAGGTCAGCTTTAGTAGGGTCCTTTTCTTCAAAATTGCCACACACGTCATTTTTGAAACAGTGACATCTTCCATTACCAATTTAAAAATATTCCATTCATGCCCAAGTGTTTGGATTGCAGGAGCCTCTGAAGCCAGTTTCTATCTGTCATGGCACCTAGGAAACTACCAGCATTACCTAACATGAGTCACAGATTATTAATACGTTATGGCAAGTCACAGCATTTCCCAGACTAAATTCACAACTATACAACCCCTACCTAGGTTCACTTATTGTTTATGTCATCTGATGGCTGCCAGGCAGGCAACTCCTGAGCTTTTTTACGTTTCTTTTGGTTTTGTTTTTTTTTGTTTGTTTGGTTTTTTTTGAGCCAGGGTCTCGCTAAACAATCCAGGTTGGCCTTAAACTCACTATGTAGCCCAGCCTAGGCTCAGATTCATAACAACTCTCCTGCCTCTGCCTCCCAAGTGCTGGGATTACAGGCTATTTTGATATTCTTAAACGTAGAAACATACAGACAGTTACAGAGGTGCAACTTTTTCTCTACTTGTGATATGTCACAAGATAAACAATGTATACCTTAGCTTTTTATCTAACCTATTATGAATAATGGTCAAAAAAAACCCATAAAGATCTAAAACCTGGACATGTCTACTGGCATCAGCATTTTAGTCATTCCTTACTTTTGTTCTGCTAAATGTGTTTCTTATGATTACATCTTATAGATGCTTAAGTGTAAGGTACCTTTAAGTGTTCAAGATCAGCCTCTATCTTATGAATGTACTCCATGATCTGGCTTTGTGAATCTGTACAAGAGGAGGGACTCTGGATCTCAAAACAGGAATCCTCCATTGCTCCCCATCGCCGCTGGACTAGGAATTCTGGGGTGAATGGTGAACCTGCCCCATCAGAATGAGCACTCTGGGGAGAATATTGGTGCTGGTAGGTAGAGTCCGTAGAGGGGATGCCTGCCACAGGCTGCAGGGTAAATGAGGAAGCAACCTCCTCATCTGTGGAGCTCTCCTGCACTGTGTCATAGCCATCAAGGATCAAGCAATTTCCTATTGATGAAGACAGAATGCTTTGATGAGATTAGGACTGACATTAGGAAATCAAAATATAGGCTTATATGCTGACAACTAGAAAAGCTACTAAGAGAAGAAAATTCATTAACTCCAAAGTTTTAAGTCTATCAGAATTTTCTTACTTCAGATTAAAGCTAAACTTGGTAAACTCCTAAACAATTTCATATTTGTTAGCATTTCAAAAGTTTAAAGCTCGAAATTTGAAAGTCCTCTATGATCTTGTCTCCGCTCACTCCCCTGCCAGTTACCTCTCTTACCTGGCGCCCTTCCACTTTCTCCCCACTCCACATTTCCTAACCACAAAGAGCATGCTCTTGACATGCAGTTGCCCTCTGCTTTCACTGAGACATCGCTCTCAGGCAGCCACAGGCACCTCTGCTCAGAGAAGGTCTACTTCCCTGAAATCCTTGACCGCCCTCATCACTCTCTGCCCCTGTAGTCTGACTTATTTTCTTGCTAATACTGATATCTGTTTGTTTTCTTCTTATTACTCTTTTCCCTCAGGGTAGTTATAGTTCTTCAGAATAGGGAACTTTTCTGCATTTTCTTCAATTCCCTACCTCCCAGACTCTAAAGTGAGGTCTGGGACACAGCAGATTCAGTAATTTATTATACAAAGGAATAAATTAATACTATATATACAGAGATACACACAAACACAAATAATTCCGGATACTGAAACAATATTTACCCCAGTATACAGGACAGTTAACAATGATCAAAATAAAAATTTAAACATAAATAAACTTGCCTGAGATGTGTAAATTAACATCCTTCTCTTCCTTTTTAACTGCTCCATCACCTTCTGATGGATTATCATCACTATGTGCTTCACGGGCATCAAAAAAGTGCTCTCCACTCTCATCAAGACCCCCTTCTGGCTCTGTGGTAGACATCTCTGGGGTCAGAATCATGTGGTCCATTACTAAAATGTTACTTGCCTGGCTATCTTGGGATGCCAGTACCACTGAATCCGGTGGAGCAGAAGATTCAGTTGAAGTCCGTGAACTATAACAACCTGCAGTGTCACCAGTTCCAGTTCTAAAGGGCATCTGCCCTTCTGCAGAATGACAGGCCTTAGTACTTTCAGAGTTCTGGATTCCACTGTCGGCCTGTACCTCCTGGGAAGCTATCCTGTATCTGGAGAAATGCTGCCAGTCTTCCTGATTGCTCCTCTCCGCCAAACCCAGGTGTTGTACTAGTAATTGCTTCAGCAAACCCACTAACAAGTTACAGCAGGGAATGAAGTAAATTAAAAAAAGAAAAGAAAAGAAAAGCACACTCAGATTGCCAAGATTAGCTGAGTTACCAATCATTTTTAAACTAAGTACCTTTTGACAATATAACCAAAATATTAATCTTTTACCTTTTTCTTTTTCCAGTGCTAAAACCTCACACATGCTAGGCAAGCACTCGAGCCCTGAATGACATCCCTAGTCCCAAACTATTTCTCTTTCACAATCACCTGTTTTGAAAAATGAAATAAAGCGCATCTTCTAGAGAACACTTAACATTAAACTAGCGTTGACAAGAGTTAAGCATCCTAAGTAGCTAAGTGCTCCTCTGTTTAGAATCCCACATACCAGCACCATGCCTACATTTAATTTTCTATGTAACTGAGATAACAATCTAAAGGGCTGTAAGGATGCTAAAAAACTGTGTTAGGCTAGACAAAAAAGCTAAATGTTCTGCTTTTTCTAGAAGCAAACACTATAGGTATTGGCATTTCCCCACATTTTTATTAGACATATAGAATACTTACTTTATCATTTATAGTAACTCAAGAATATCCTAAAATGGTGGAGGGAATAAAATTGCCTTGTAATAAAATTTAATTCCAATGATTGGTAGTAATATATATATAATTTCAAAAAATAAGGAGATATTCATCAGTATTTTTAAAAGTAACTCCCTGACTAGTGGCACAACTTTTTTAGATTGTTGAAAATAAGAACCAGTTAAACTTTCAATGGGCTATTCATGCTGAGGTCATTTATACAGTGATGGTGCTCTGGGATAACAATAGTCAAACCATCAGAAATCACTAAGCCTATTCATTCAGGAGAATCTAGGTAAGTTAGATTTAGATAACCAACTCCTTAATATCTATATCCTGGGCTTAATTTGTAACTTATGTTTCTTTAGGTAAATAGTTTCCACATAGATCTGAGTGTCTGATCCTCTGTCTATTCTATATTTACTTCCAGAGAGATTCCATGAATTCTTATGGTTCTGGCACTCAAATTTCTTTTCCTAATCTTGCCAGTCCTAAAATTCTAACTTTCCTGCTATTCACTTCCTCTTGAATGGTTTGTCCTTCATTATCTTAATCTTGACACGTTTTAAAAATGGAAGGTATGGAAGGCGGAAATGGTCCATTCTCACTCTTATTTCCAACAAGAATACTGAAATTATCTGTAGATACTCCTTTTTTTCCCCCTCATATCCAAATAAGTCAATTATTCTAAACATGTAATGACTCTTTTGATTCTAAAATCATTCTAAACTATTTCAATATTGAACCCAGACCACTATAACAGCTCACTAAGTGCACTACTCCAGCCCTCTTTCCATTAAAATCATTGCACGGCTCTCAGCTGGAATAATCTTTTTTCATTAGTCATACCCTAGCTTTAAAACTTGTAGTGGATGTCTACAGCTAGAGCAACTGTTTTCAGACTTTTCCCCACTTCATTACACTTGAAGATATGCTAGCCTCCCACAGTTGCTAGGGATTCTCAGCTAGGCTAGAAAGGAAGGAGGCAGCTAACAGAATGTGTGTGTGTGTGCGTGCATGTGCACACTGAGCTCTGGCAGAGAATATTATGATGTCCAAAAGAGAGCTAGAAGGACATACATAGTTTTGAAAGGGCTCTTAAAACACTGTGATGTGCACCCTCAAAGTCCAGAGCCCACAGTCTGGTATTCAAAGTTCACCACAGCTGGGCTCAACAGCATATCTTCTATCTTCCCAACTCTCCACACTCCTTTCACTTACAGCATCTGCCACAACCTCACTGCTCTCTGAACAGCTTTACATTTTCCTATCTGTGTTTTTGGTTCTATCATTATTCTCGTCTGAATGCCTTCTATTCTTTCACACATCTCTCTGAATCTTACCCATCCTTCAAGACAATAATCACATCTCTCTTATTCTCTAATGCCTTCTTTCTCTGGTCACCCCAATCCTGATCAATTTTGACATACCTGCAACAATGTCTCAAAGGTGTGGGTGGGATCAGGGGGAGTTTCTAGCATCGTCCCCACTAGCATATAAATTTCTTGAAGGGAAAAGTTACAGCTTACACGTCTTTAGATTCCCCCTAAATGACTCTTCAGTATATTACACAACTCTTGGACTTAACACATATCTGTAATGCTGGATGTGGTGGCACAAGCCTGTCATCTCAGCACTTGGGAGGCTGAGGCAAGAAGATCACCCTGAATATGAGGTTAGCCTGGGTTACATAGTAAGTTTAAGCTAGCCTGAACAACAACAGAGTGAGATCCTGTCTCAAAAAAAAAAAGCACCTGTAGTGAGTTATACATAAAACTTACAATTCCTTAGTGCATCCAATGCCCACCGTTCTTCTGCAACAGGCAAGTGTGGATCTGGCATTGTGATCTGATAGTTTTCTCCACTTTCCTTTAGTGTCCCATCTGCATGCTGCTCCTTTGCAAATTGTCTCTCAGCCACAAAGAGATCGATGGCCTCTGATTTTTCAGAAGTACTCAGTGAATGAGTCTGAGGTTTTGATGATATTAAGGGAGATTCTATTCCCAAATGTCTATCTATTCAGTGGAATGGAAAAGGCAGAGTATATCTTAAGAAAACTTTAAGTTTTTAACATGAACATTCAGGAAATACTTGGAAAATAATAACCACTTAAGCTATAGAAATCTTCTGTTAAGCAAAACATATAACACAAAGGGTAGTATTATACTAGCACAGAGAAAGCTCCAAAACAGTTTCTTAAATAGTATAGCTGATGCCAGAACCTGCATAAACCAAAATTTCAATGTTTCTTTGCATTTTAGTAGATAGAAAACTTATCTTTGAAGTTTACCTGGACTCTGTAGATTAGTGTCTGAAATGCCATGATGCTCCACTTTTAATTTTGGAGGTTCTTCTTCATCATTGTCTCCTCTTTTTAAGAAGAAAAAAAAAATCACTGAGTTCATGACATGCCCAAACATTGTTACAACCAAACAGAAGAACGATCAATTTATTTTCTGACCGAAAACACAAAAATCCTACTACACAACAGTCCTGTTATTATACAAAAGAACACTCACTCGCAAGGTGGTGACTGTAATGGAATAATTGGCTTTGTGGACTGCTCTTTCACTGATGTAGCCATTCGACAGATTAGGTCCTGCCAGCTTCAGGAAGTTTGAAAGGAATCCAAATTATAAAGCAGAAGGGAAAAAAGAAATACTGTTTAAATACACTCAGAAAGAAAAACAAAAAAAGAAAACAAAACAAAACAAAAAACCAATTCTGCAAGAATTGGCAACATAAGACTAGGCAGAGAGGCCGGGGATATAGCTCAGTGGCACAAGTGCCTACCTGGCAAGCGCAAGGTCCTGAGTTTGATTCCCGGTACCAAAAAAAAAAAAAAAAATTAGGCAGAGATTCTAAAATGATAAAGGAAAATCTAACAACATTATAGATACACTGCCCATTTAAAAAATTCACTTGAAACTTTGAGAATTTTTCTTTAGAAAATTTCTTTTGCTAGAATAAAATCAAAATGAAAGATTTCAATCTAAAATAGGTAAAGGTTCTTCAGGACTATCTCTAAGAGGATAGTGAAGAAGGTACTTGGTGACTATATTGTTTTCAATTTTCAGGGTCTGAAAAGAAAGTTAAGTTTGTGCAATATTACATATGGGATAATGAAAATATTAATGACAGCAAGGCAGGTAATACATACACAGTCTTTTCAGAAACTGTCTGTGCCACCAGTTCATAAATTTGGGCCCCATTATCTGACATGGAGATGACGAATAAAGCTTTGTTATCTGAAGAAAAAACAAGACAAGATTTATCCTACCACTTTGATCTACAGAGGCCATGAGTGTTATTTCTAGGGTCTTGGTAATATTCTGCATCTTAATTCAGGTAAAAGTTGAGTATGTTTACTTCCTAAAAGTGCGTCAAGCTATATATTCATATGTTGTATCATTTACTGCATGTTATACCACATATACTATACTTCAATAAAACAAAGATTATAAAAATTCATACTAGTCCCACAGTAGATCAGAAACAAGAGGTCAAAGTCAAAGACACTGAACTGGGTACTATTACTTTTCTGTATCTATTTGAACTGTGCTTCTGCTAAACCGTTAGTTAATAATATTCAGTGATTAGCAGAGAAAAGAGGGCACAAATTTATTTTGCCATTATGAAGTTAACAAGGTTTAAAAGGGATTGTATTGTGGTGCAGTGAAAATATAACTTGCCAATTTGAACTAATCTTGAAAAAGCCAAACACCCACGTCTTCAATTTTCATTCTTTCCCCCACCAAATAAAAAAATACACTTCTCTAATCAAAGGCTTCTTGTACGAATTACTTCCCAAACTGGTATTTACAAATGATTTAAACACGTAAAAGACCCTAAAATAACTGCAAAAACTTTCAAATACAGAAAATATTTCAGAGAATCAAAGCATCTTAAATACTGTGGAGGTGTAAATTCTTAATTTACTTTTTTTTTCATGTTTTATTTCCTCTTGTTTTTTCTTTTAAAAATGGGGTCTCACTATATAGTACAGGATGGCCTGGAACTTGCTACATAACCTAGGGTGGCCTCCTGTCCTAGCCTGTCAAGTGCTGCGACTGCAGGCGTGTGCCACCACACCTGGCTTAATTCAATTTTAATAAACATCACTTAATTTGCCTAAGTATAATAAAGTAACAAAACTCTACACCAGTTGTGTTACATAAGCAACACTGAATATCTTATGGATCTTTACAGTGACTTTAAAGGTCAGTATCCTCCAGTAAACATACTTGCCTGTTGCCACTTGTCGAACCAACACCGTATTCAACTTAATGACAGGACTAAATGTGTGTTTGCTATCAGCTGTAGATGCCAGAATCTTACTATGGCACCGCAACACCAGTTTATCATCCTGCTTTTGCAACAATACCAGAATGTCTTCCAGCAGTAATGTATACAGATCTAGAAATAAAAATGCAGAAAAAGTGGGAAGCACAGAAATTTACATATATTTACTTTTTTAACAATTTGATAGAGAAATTTTACTTCTCTAAATCTAATCATTTAAAAACTGATTTCATTCATTTTTATTGTATTTTACCAAAGCAATCAGTCTGTGACCAGTAAGGATTAAGAACAATGGTCCCTCACCACAGACAGCTGAGTTACTGGTTTAAAATAAACTTACTGCAAAAACTATAGAAATAGGACCAATTCATGACAAAGTTATCTGCTCCTTTCCTAAATATTTAACACACTTTAGATAATATAAAGTAACATAAGCATATTTTCTATAGTTACCTGAATAGCACAAAGTAGCACTGCTAACTACTGTTCTGCAAATTGTGATGGTTCTTTCTTTTTTCCTTTAGAAAAAAGGAACTTTCCTACTCTTTCCCTTTCTCCACTCTCCCCAAATTCTGACAGACTAATCAGACTTACCAATAGTTTTGTCTCTATTCACCTTCCAAACCAATGGCCCTTCATGAATCATCTTCCTTTTTGTTAAATCCAAATTCTGCCAAAGAATATTGCACACAAATTATTTCCAAGCACTCAGAGATGATTTTCCATAAAACTTGATCTTTCTTCAAAACATTCTTAATATACGATACCATTTTCATTCAACTATTATTGCAATCTGTTTTGAAAGTGGAATAAAGTAACCTGCAAAAAATCTTTTCTAAAGGCATTTTGCAGAAAAATATTCAGGAGTATCATCTTCCAAATCTCACTCCAAATAGATGATAACAGCTTATGAAAATGAAGCTACAAACTCTCAGCCACTACATTCCCATCCCATACCTTGGGATGAGGAAGATGCACGATGTACAAGTTTGTCTCTAAAAGGCTTCTGTATCCTACAGTTCTAAGGGAAGTTGTAAAGACCAGCATTCAACATGAAAGGCCCAATGCTTACTCTGCATGTCAATAATTAGTCAGAGAATCTTTTTCTTTTTAGCATTAGTAGCACTAGGAAAATCTCACTCTTTGGAAGTTAACAGGATACACTCATTAAAATGCTTTCCCCGCACTGGTATCTGGCACTTTCACCTTGAGCTACATCCCAGCACATTTCTATTGTTTATTTTGAGACAAAGTCTTGCTAAGTCATTAAGTTGTCCAGGCTAGACTCCCACTTTTGATCTTCCTGTCACAGTGCTAATAACACAGGCATGCACCACCACGGCTGGCTGTTTAGCATGCTTTTTGATAAAATGGGATATATGAGATAGAAATCTATTTCAAAAGACACCAAATAAATCTGCCAAAACAACTACCTAGAATAATGGTGTAAGAAACTTAAAATACTACAAAGTTTATGATACAAAAGCCCAAGTACAAGAAATGAAATTAGTAAGTATTATACTATCATTCTTGTAATAGTTTCAACTTTTCAAGTTTTCAAGAGCTTCTGGGAAAAAGAATTATCTTACTTTATTAGTGAGATGGAAAGTTCTGATGGTAAGCAAGAAACAGGACACAGTAAAATTAAATTTAGTAATGATTAGTGTTTCTTCGTTTCCTGACAGTTGCTGTCATATAATGTTAGTTCCTCACAAAATATTCTAACAAAAGACAAAAGTAATCATCACACATATCAGACAAATGAAGTCAGAATAAAATCATAAATATAAATAATATATGATATAGAAATCCTTCAGATGATGGATATTCCTGGTATGTTGATTACCTACAGAGTCTTTAGTACATTTTATTTCATTTTAAAAATTATGATTAGACCCTTTCTCACCCTGAGCTCTTCAACATTTGGGTACTCTGACAACTTCAGATTGGAAGTATCAAGGCGACGCTGATAATCTTCTAGGCGCTGAAAGGTAGACAAGATGGAGTCATGGTTACTGCTTTGCTCATCAAAGATCTGTTTCTGAATCAATGGACATTTCTCTCACTTTTTTTTTTTCCTCACTCAATGGACATTTTAAAATCTGTATTTTACTGAGCTTGCTGAGATGGTTGGCAAGACTGATAATTCACACTTTCTTAAATACCTCCTCCTTGGCTATGGTGATATCACACTTTTGGTCTTCTTTCTTTTTGCCTGTCCCTTCTCAATCCTTTTTTCAAACTCTGGCTCCTAACTAGCTTATATCTATTTTCTAAATATGTAAGTTAGTCTCAGAGTACAATATTCAGAAGGTAATATAAAGCATACAATAAAAAAATCTCCTTCCAATTTTCCTCAATTTTATCTAAAGAGAGAATCACTAAGATCCATTTCTCCAGAAAAATTTCTAGCCTTTGAGAAAAATCCTATGCAAACAGAATGGATCCATATCCAAGTACACTGATCTGTGCTGAAAAGGATTTATGCATACTTTTCAAACAACTTGGGGTAGCACTGTAGATTCCTATGGTATTGGTATATGCATTTCCCATCCAAATGGTAGATTAATATATTCACATAAATATTCCTCTGTGTGTGTGTGTGTGTGTGTGTGTGTGTGTGTGTGAGAGAGAGAGAGAGAGAGAGAGATTTACAAATATATCTTGGAGACTATTCCACATTAGGACATTCAAAGAGATCTCTTTTTTTCAATAACTACATAGTATTTAACTGTGAATGAACTATAATTTAACTTCATCTTAGTGATAAGTAAATCAGTTAATTCCGAACTTCTCCAATAACAGACTCTGTACTAAGATGGCCTGTACACTGTGTAGATATAACTATACAATAAGTTTCTAGAAGAACTACTAGATTGAAGGGTATTGTATTCTTCCTAAATATCATAAACAATTCTAAATACACAGAAAAGTTCGTATGTAATGAATACCTATTAGATATATCCACCACACATATGTTGGTATATATAATTACATATCTATTCATCTATTCATCCTTCTATCTACCCAAATATTATCGTATTTTTTGTATATATTTCAAAATAAATTACAGACTTAAGTATAGTTTAACCCTAAACACTGCAGCATGCATATCATTAACAAGAGTTCAATATCTGCTTATAGATCTTTTTAAAGGTCAAATTTACATACTCTAAAAGGAACATTTTTAAAGTCTATCTACAAATTTGGACATTTGCATACACCTTTACAACTCAAACGCCGATCAAGATGTGAAAAATTACCAGAATACCCCAGAATATGTTCTTGTATGTTCTCGTACTTCTTCCCAGTTAATCTCTACTCCCACATCTCCAATGGCAATCATTTTTCTAATATTTTCTGCCATAGATTAGTTTAGCCTCTTAGAAGTTCATATAAATAGAATTATATGTATTATTTTGTATCTGGTTTCTTTCACTCAGCATATTAGCGAGAGTCATTCCTTTTTATCACAAGTAGTATTCTATTTTACGACAATACCACAGTTGGTTTATCCACTTTCCTGCTGATGAATTCTTGGGCTGTTTCCAGTTTGGGGCTGTTTTGAATAAAGCTGCCATAAACACTCTTGTGTAAGTCTGTTTGTGGGCATAAATCTTCATTTCTCTTGAGTAAAATCACTACAAACCGAATTGCTGGGTCAAAAGGTAGAAGTAGAGGGCAGGTACATTTTAATTTAAACATTGCCAAATTTCCCTCTGGGGTTTTCTTATTTTACAGTCCAAACAATACATTTGAAAGTATTCTATAGCCTCCCTAAGGGAGTCATCATCATACTCAGTTCCTAAGAAACTACACCCATTGTCCATGGGTCCAATTAACTTCTGTATATTCATATGTTCACAATCTTTTTTTGTTGTTGCTTCCGTTCATTTGGTTTGGTTTGGTTTTGGTTGTGGTTTTCTGAGACAGGGTCTCGCTATGTAGTTCAGGCTGGCCTCGAGCTCACAGTGATCTTCTTGCCTCAGCCTCCCGAGTGTTGGGATTACAAGCATGGGCCACCACGCCCGGCCACAATCTTAAACTTCTATCCTTAGCACAGTCCTCTTGGAGGTGGAACATACAGCTAACTGCTTACGGCACATTTCCACTTGAAATCCCAAGCCAAACTCATCTTCTCACAAGTCTGAAAGTCTCCTCTCCATCCATATATGCAAGCCAGAAAGCTGGGGATCTATTCTTGATATCACGCCTCTTCAAATCCCTCTCTGAGCCATTCACCAAGTACTGCCAATTTTACCTCCTGAATGCTTCTCCAGATTTTGCCATTCTCTACACTGGTTGTACTGCTAAGAGATTCATGGCTGGGCTCTCCCATTCACCATCTTCCTCCTTTAATCCACTCTTCACAGAACAGTATAAGTGATACAGTGAAATTGTGAACACCTTCAATGTCTTTAACGAATTCCTACTGCTCTTAGGATAAAAACCAGTCTTTAACATGGTGAAAAGGGCCTTGTATGATTTGGTTCTAACCTATCTTACCTCTTTTTATGACACTGACACTTTACAAGCACATTCTACACTCATCTATCTTTCAGTTACTCAAACCGGCTGTGCTTCTTTTATATGACAGGACTTTTGTACACAGTGGATCCTCTACTTCTGTGGTACCCACGTCCTCCCCTACTTCTGTGGTACCCACGTCCACACAAGTTAGGTTCACTTTTACTCATCCTTTAGAGCAAGCACCAAATGTCAATTCTTTTTTTTTTTTTTTCTTTTTTGTCTTTTTGAGACAGGGTCTCGCTATGCAGTTCAGGCTGGTCTTGTGCTCACTTTGTAACTCAGGCTGGTCTTGAACTTGCAACAATCCTCCTGCCTCAGGCTCCCAAGTGCTGGGATTACAGGAATGAGCTACCACGCCCAGCCCAAATGTCAATTCTTGAAGGAAGCTTTTCTGAAGACCACTATTTAACATCCCCAAACTCAGCTAAGTCACCCAGTTAGATACTAATAGTATCCTGGAGTTCTCCATCATAGTTACCACATATTCTGCTAGAAAACAAGCTTAACATGGACAGTCACTGTGCTCATTTCCTCAACCACTCTATGTCTCAACTACTCTATATAGAACAGCATATGTTCTACAAGTATCTGTTGAATGCACGCAGGAATGAATGAGCAAACAAGCACCTAGAGATACTCAAAACAGTAAATACAGCTCTGATATTCTATCACAAATTTATCTAGACTCATGTACTACATGAACAGCTAACAAATGCCCTGCCCATCAATTATGTAATGATCACTTGAATTATTATTTCAGACTCTGCGTACTACTATCTCCATACCATCCTGTACCTTCCTGGTTTCCCTTTTTACCTGTTTGTTTTCTGCTTCCTTGACAGCCTGATTGACATAGTTTAATATCTGACGACAGTGATCTGCAGCTTTCTTCACCTTCTCCCTTTCTGTTGGCCATTCTAAATAAGGGAAAGAAACCCAAAATGTGAAATGAGAAAATTAGAAAAATATACATAGGAAATCTCATTTTATTTCAAAAGTTTTAAGTATATACTAAGACCCTAAATATTTTCATACCAGTTAAAACCTATGGCAGAGCCTCAACTCAGGACGTCTTTGGACAGGTGAGACTTTGATGACCCGTGTTTCCCCCAAAATAAGACCTAACTAGAGATAAAAAATGCCAGCTACAATCAGCCTGTCTTTGCGTTACTTGCCATTACAGAACAGCCACTGTGAAACAGAATAATGAGGTATAATCTTCTGCATGATGCTGGTCATCACCATGGTAATGACCAGCTATTAATTATAGCTGAAGTTTATTTTCTAGGTAAATCTTACTTTTGGGAAAATATACTAGTACTTTAAAACAAAATTTCTCATTTTAAAAAAGAAACTGTAGTACAGAATCCTAAATCCAGGAATGATGTTTAACATAAAGTGTAGGCTAACAGTGTTACACATTCCAGGAAGCGAGTCTTTTTCACTGTGTACGCTGTACAACTGGGACTCTTTTTTGTTCCTGGAGTTTCACAGTACAGAGCTTACATGATTATGTCCAGTGAACATGTTAAGCAGTATTTTTTGAGTAACTCAATTCCAAAATTCCAAAATACCTTTCTTTGAATTTGAGATTGTATTTAAAGAAAGAAAATAGATTAGAACATTTGTATCATTAAGAGAAGATGAAGTTCACCAAAATATGTTGAGGCTGTATCATGTCTACAATCTAAAGAAACCAGAACCAGAATATCCTGAATTACAATCCAGTCTAAAAAACAGTGCAGCTATACTGAACAGATAAACTAAAAAATAAAATTAACATGTATAAATGTAAAACTACTGATTTTGCCAGATGCTGTAATTCTAAATCACCCAGTCATGCATTCAAATTCTCAGGCACAAGGAACAGCAGAGGTTGCATAATGTTATTAATGAGAACTAAGTACAAGAACCTAAAGCTCAACTGAGAAACTTACATTCGCCTCATATTTCAAACAGGAGAGCTGGCATTATAAATGTATTGGTTTGCTTAATAAAAGTACACATATAAATATAAAACATCTCTCCAACCCAATATTAACCTTCTTCAAAGAAAAAATATATACTAGAGCAAGCTTTTCCTACAAAAGCCCACATGATAATTATTTTTACACTGTTCAGGCTAAATGTCCTCTGTTGTAACTATGCAACTCTGCCATTATAATATAAAAAATAGGAAGAGACAGGATGTAAACAGATGACCATAGCTGTGTCCTAATAAACCTTTATTTATGAAAACAGGCAGTGCCTGATTTGGCCCATGATTCAGTTTGCCAAACTGTGTTAGAGCTAGCAATGGAGTATATTAAATTAAACACACTGAAGGAGACTAATTTTTATCTTGTTAGAAAATTTGGCCACACTATTTGGAAATCCAATTCTAGGCACCAACATGCTGGGATAGATTGGTTAGCAGGACATGCTTTTGTTTGGTGTCTGTTTCTAGCTTTTTTTACTTCAGTGACAATGTTATACCTGTGTATTTTGCAATATTATCCAAAAGAAGTGGGTACTTAGTAAGCCTTTGCATTTGAGTGGGAATGATATCCTTCAGCTGAAGACGACGACACAATGGATTACTCTCAGCATCCTGAAATTAAAGTGCAGTAAGTGAACCTGCAGTTCTTATTAAGACAATAACTAACATGTACCATGTATTCAATTTTTTAAAATACCAACACATATCTTTCCACACAATATGTCTGCTTTCCTTTTTTAATCACATACTGGAGGAAGGCAATCTTTAACACTAAACCAATGATTTCTGCTGTTTAAGCAAGGACAGAGCATCCATAATCAATTCTAAGAATCGCTTTTCTGTGAGTTAAAACAGCTGTATCTTCATGTATTCAGCATATCGAGGCACATTTTCTTGACTAGCATTGCTACTGATTCATTGTATGTCACTCCAAGTAGAAACAATGGCTCACCAGTCTAGATATGCTAACTCATCTGTATCAGAGGTCTCCAAACCTTTCAGTCACATTCCAGTTAGTAAATACTTAGGCTTTGCAGGCCAGGCTCTCCCAACTACTCAACTCTGCTGTTTTAGCACAAAAAATAGGCATAGACAAACCATAAATCAAATAAACAAACATCTCTAAGATGGCCTCCTAGATTCCCTCTTTCTGATGTGCACATTCCATATCCACACCCTTAAGTGTGGATGAAATCTGCAAATGTGAAAGCATGATAGGAAATCTTCCCTATAATTCGTTTATCATCAGTTGATTTTGAGTCAGTTAATCAAAAAGCAGACTATCCTGGGTAGGCCTAATTTTCACAGCAGACTTTAAATGAAAGAATCTGGGCCAGGGAGATGCATTCCTGCTAGCCTGGAATAAAGCAAATGTCAACCTGTAAACTGCCTAAGCGGGCACAGAGATAGGAACATTCCCTAGGAGCCAAGACTGGTTCCTCGACAACTAGCAGAAAGCTGGGGATCTGAGTTACGTATTTACAAGGAAATTAATTCTTGTAACAATCAGGGAGCTTAGAAGAGACCCCAAATCTCAGATAAGAATTGCAACTATAGCTGACACTTTGATTTCAGCCTGGTAAAACCCTGAAGAAAGGATCTAGTTATACTGTAGTAATACTCCTCAATCACAAAAGCTTGCAATGATAAATTTACATTCAGTGGCCACATCACAGCAATTTGTTATACAAGATGGAAAATCAATACACTTTGTTACAATAAAATTTTTATTTACAAAAACAATCAACAAGCTGAATGTGGCCTATGGACCATATTCACAGACTTTTACCAATACCAATATATACTCCTACCCCAAAAGGTATGACTACTATTATAACCTTCCCTGGGCCTGATATATACCTAGCCTCATACTTTAACAATACCTTTTGAATAATATAAATGCCACAGTTACTGATAAAATTCCAATGGTAACATGGATCTCTATGTTAAGTATTTTAATAAAGATATGTTTTTTTTATTATTCATCATTCCAAAATCATCTTTATGCCTTCCAGTAATTTAAGAGACAATGCATGGCTTTTTAAAATAACACAAATGTAATCCTTGTAAAAGATATTCTCCATCAAAATTCCCCAAGTTTATTCTATAATTGATAAAAACTCTTGTTATTTTCTTTATGTGATTCACTCAACTCACTTGCACAAAAGTCTGAAATCGAGAATCCTTTTTCTGACGAGACTTGATCATTTCCAGGGCAAAAGGCTGGTTACTGCAAAATGTTGCAGCAGCATGTTTCAACTTCTCCTCTCCTGGTCCGCTGAACTGTGCCAAGAATGCAAAGAAAACAATACAGTGGGAGAAACTGAACTTCAATAGAAAGCTGAGCAAAATGCGAGACAGCCACAATCCTTTCAACATTCCAGGAAGTATTCTCAAGTGACAAAAATTATAGAGCTGTGTATTCATATAGAGTAGCAATGCCCCTTCATTAAAAAGGTCTCACCCTGACATGTTCAGACCTTCTCTCATTATACCAATGTTTCCTTCCTGGTAACCAACCATAGCTTGCTATCTTGTAGCCTATACCACTTCTAAATTAGATAGAAAGGCTGGCAAGTATGAGACACAAAATGACCAGACAACAATATTAAAATTCGTCTCTACAGACTCTGACATCTTTGCAAAAATTATTCTTTTACTGCTCCAGAAAGCAAATCCATGGGATATTGGCTTTTTTTCCTACTCACCGTGCAAGACACTATGACTATGAACAGCATAGAAATAAAATCAGACTACTGCTGCCTCACCTATACAGAGGCTGGAGCTGCAGAGGGGGAGATCCATGAACTTATGAAACCTTTTAGCTAAAAATTATACTTTTTGATAATATTTGTAATCTTTAAATTCAAGTTTGCATATGTCACGATTTTAAAATTTATGAAACACCTAACAGGTGCTGCAGTGGTAAGGTGTACTTTTAAGTCAAATAAACTGTTTTTACTTCCACTTCTGTATTTTTAAATAGTTGCTTTAAATTTTACCAAGAGATTTTTCCATATAATCTTTCATGTAAAGTCATATTCCCAAAATTTATAAATGAGGACATTTTGTAAGAAGTCCTTTTGTTGTATATTTGTAGATATTTTTATTTTTCAAGTAGGTTGCATATGAAGTGTACTTTAATAGATCAAATGTGTAAATGTGTATTTTTATTCTATTAAAAACATGACACTAGGTTGGGGATGTAGCTCACTGGTATAGTATTTGCCTAGCATGTGCAAGGCGCTGGGTTCCATTCTAGCACTGTGTGAGTAAGTAAGTAAGTAAGAAAACTGACACATTTAGAGATGAGACTGGCAGCAATTTTTTTTTTTTTTTTTTTTTGGTATTTTTGAGACAGGTCTCACTATGCAGTTCTGGCTGGCCTTGAGCTCACTTTGTAGCCCAGGCTGGTCTCAAACTTGCAACGATGCTCCTGCCTCAGCCTCCCAAGTGCTGGGATTACAGACATGCACCACCATGCTCGGCCCTGGCAGCATTTTTGATATATTAGTCAATCAAATCACCATACAAATACAAAGAGCAACTGGGTTAAGAAAAGGAAGTAACACTGCCCACCTCAAGAATTTCTATAATAGTTTTACAAGCAGCTTAAGTATATGTAAGGTGATTCTAATGGACCAACATAAGAAAAAAAAATCTCCAAAACTATTATTTTAAAAATAGCAGCAGGGGTTGCGGTGTAACTTAATTTTATAGCATATGCATAGCATGTGGAAGGTGCTAGGTTTGATTCCCAGCACAACAGGAAAAAAAACCATATTAAAATAGCAAGGATAAATCTAAAAGACTACTTATGATTTTTTGCTTCTAGGATTTCTGGCCAATGCTTTCCCATAAATTAACCCTTGATATGTAACAGTTAACAAACCAGGTTACTTAATTCATTTTGTGTTTTCCCAACTTTTCATAAGTATACTATATAAGTCAAGTATACACTTCTATTTATATATTCTCAAGAAAATCTTTTGTCTCACTCTGTTCATAGGTTTCTTTGCTTTATTTTTGCCCAGTACATTTATGCAGTCTAACAGACTGTGATAAAAAGAACAAACTGCACTTTTGTATGTTATTAATGATGTATCTTACTTGAAATGTGCCCATTATTTTATGGGTGAGGCAAATGAACCGGCTTAAGAATCAAGGTGTATTATCTTAAACCCATATACTTTACAACCTTTTAATTCAAGCAGGACCTGGACACTGATGTCTTATAAAAGGAAATCATGGATAAAACTTTCAATGCCCTATTTTAAGTTGAGCAGCATGCTGTCAAACCAACAGAATTCAGTCATAGTTTTCATTGCTGCATTAAGATCAAGAAACAAAACAAGCCACATTACTCACAGTAGCCACATAGTAAGGTGAATTTTTTAAAGAAGTTAAATCTTCTTAGTGACAATAATGTGAAAGTGGGCTTAGGATAGAAAATGCTTTGGAAAACGTAATAAATGAAAGTAAGACTGTTTATGATTTCTTGCTCCTATTCTGAGTCAAGTGGTTAAAAGTGACAGGTATCTACTATTTCCCATATCTATTAGGTGATTCTAGATCATGATATCACCAGTAAGATAAAGAAACCAGTAAAATGAAGAATGTATTAGTTAACTTTCTAGACTTTAATCTTTTATAAAACTACCAAAATCTGATGGCATTTCTTCAAGTAGTGTATATAAAACCAAGTGAATTTCTGTAGGCATATCCAAACCATTCTTGTTCAGCCTGTGTTAAAATTCTCAGAACTAAACCATATAGTTTAGGGGACCGGGAATATAGCTCAGCAGCACAAGTGCCTGCCTGGCAAGTGCAAGGGCCTGAGTTCAATTCCCAGTACCCGCCAAAGAAAAACAAACAAAAAATAAACCACACAGTTTAACATTATTAACTATTATTAACTATACAATCCTTTTAAAAAATTTAAATCAACTACGTTCTGTATGTTCCAGTTTTGGGTTCTCTGCTATATAGTCCCATAACAATCTGTATTCTCTCCTTTTTGTTATACTTATCATGTTTTAAATAACCAAGAGAATGTGTTCCCATTAACTACAAGCTCTCAAGGGTAGGAGCCTATGTTCCAGCACTTTGCACAGCATTTTTATTATATAGTGACCATGTCAGAAAGACAGACAGAATTTGATAAACAAGTACTATAGTCTCTGGACTCTTACACTGTATACAAATAAGATTAACTAATTTCTACTTTTCTACTAGCATGATGGCAGTTCTGGGACCATCTATATATTATATAGTTGTTAAGATTTAGACAACAGAAAATGGTTAAAATTCTATCTTAAATTATTTTTACGAAGATCCATTTTACTCTCTGTTCTTTAAAACACAAAGACCAGTATCTTTATTTCAATGAAATAGAGCACTCAGTTTCAGCACTGATTAAAACATGCTAACCAAAACAGTACAAGCTTCTACCTTTTCCAGCTTTACATTAACTTTGCAAAATGTAGTTTGCTTACTTAGAAAGACTTGTTACTTAACATTGAATCTGATCATTTACTGTAAAAATATTAAAAAGAAACAGGAAATTTCCTTACCCAGCTCAGCAAATCTTCCCCAATATGATCTATAACAGAGGTCTCATTCCTCTTTCGAACAGCCTTCATTTGCTCATTCAACCCAACTTTAAAAAAAAAAAAATTAAACACACACACATTTTTGGCTGAATTACTGGTAGTACTAAGTACCTATATTTTCAAAGCAGGTATTTTCAAACCAGGCATGATGGTGAATGCCTGTAATCTCAGATACTCATGAGGCTGAGGGAGGATGATCACAAGTCCAAGGTCAGCAGGGCAACTTTGGCTCTGTTTCAAAATTTAAAAAATCAAAAGAGCCAGAACTGTAGCTTAGTGCTCCCTAGGTTAAACTCCTAGTACTTGAAACATACACACACACAAAGAAATTTCAGAGAAGCATCAGTACTTCCAACTTCCTTAAATACAAATCTGGACACAATGCTTATATGTCTAGATATTGCAAGCCTGAACTAAAAATCTGGTAGTAAAGCATCAAACAACATTTTTAGAAACTAGTGTATTACAAACAGTGTAGCTGCATCAAATATGCATTTAACCTCAAAACTCCATCTATAACCACGCTCAAAAATAATTTAAGTAGAAATAGTGCAAATGATTCTACTCGTTCCTCTCAAAATATGTATGTGCACAGTAACGGATATAATCAGGCCTAAACTTTTCAATACATGCTGATGAAACCTAAGGTTACCCACAGAGTTGTAAAGGGCATTCACTGATTTGGCTGCTAGGTGTTGACAGGTGGTGGTTATACCCTTGACAAAGAGAGACTGCAAATTAAGGGTCATAGAGAAATAGTGATCTACAAAGTGAGGAACATCCCATTGTTATCTAGAGAAGTCCAACCTGCCTCACTCAGGGAAAGTCACAGGGAGAAAATTTGTGTACTTACAAAATGTGTTCAGAGCAAAACAATTCTAACAATTCCTCAAAATTATCCCACCATGAGATAACAATAGTCATAATAATATTGCATACTACTATTTAAGCACATATTATTACACAGGCAATACATTTAAGCATATATTATTACACGGGATATATATTTTTAAATCATATATACTGTACTTGACAGGAAATTTTCAAGGGCAATTTTTTTTTTTTTTTTTTGTTTTTGTTTTTCTCCGGTACCGGGAACTGAACTCACGACCTTGCGCTTGCCAGGCAGGCGCTTTTGCCGCTGAGCTAAATCCCCAGCCCCTTCAAGGGCAATTTTTGACTGTTTATGTTTTTCAGCTTAAGCACTGACTTCAGGCCTAAAGGTTTATGTTTATACTCTTTATATATATATATATATATATGTATATGTATATGTATATATATATATACATATATATATATGTATGTATAAAAACTGACAGAGTAAAGGATCTAATTAAACACTCAATCATTTATTTACTTATCCGATGTGTTTACATACAATTTTAGGCATGCTACCATGTATACAAATAATGTATAATGTACAAAATTATACATTCTCAATCTTTTCTCTACTGGAAATATAGGGGCAAAGATCAGAGCTAATTCATCTTACCATGAAGTTGAAGAATGTCTTCCAAGTTTGAAAAAATCTTCCGTAACTCTGAAGGTGACAGAATTCCTTCTCTGGACACTCGCTGATAGAACACTTGGTCAAGAACTTTCAGTGTTCGGACATGAGCTCTTTCAGTGTAGAACAATTCTAAGTGTTTTTAAAAAAGGTATGAAATGTTCTTACTTAGAATAATCCAAAGGACCAAACAATCTTTAGTTGGAATTGAGAAGCAAATGAGTTATATAATAAATTATTCATGTAGAATGACTTATCTCTGAAGTCACTTTGATTCCATGAAATTCTCCTACATAGTGGTTCTGAGTTGAATGAAAGCTATCATTCAAAACTATTTCATACTTAAACTGGACATGGTGGCACATGCCTGTAATTTTAGTACTCTAGGAGGCTAAGACAGGATGAGCAGAAGTTTGCAAACAGCCCAACCCTGGACACTTTAACAACTTAGCAAAATCATGTCTCAAAATGGAAAAGGGCTGAGGGTATAGTTCAGTGTGAACGCCATGGGTTTTATCGCAGTACTGCAAAAAATAAAGAAGAATAACAACAAAATTTTTAAAGAGCGTATTTTGTACTTAAAAATTAACAGTGCACCCCTAAACTCATCCAATTGTTTATCCAGCATGACCACAATATTAGAAAACTGTAAACATCAATACCATATATATTTTAAGCCATATTCAGAATATAGGGCTTTTGGTTATCTTATCTGCCTAAAATACAGGCAAAATAGATTGAAATTTCACTACATCACAAGGTTGTCAGAAACAGGGAGGATATTTAATCAAATCATCTAAGCCACATCTCTGTCACATACACATTAGGGTAACAAAAAAGCATCTAAGCCACATCTCTGTCACATACACATTAGGGTAACCAAAAAGCACTAAACCAGAAGAGCTAGATACTAGTGTCCTTTTATCGTGTACCAGCTAAACGATCTTGATTAAGTCAACTAATTTCTCTGGGCTTTAGCCTCCTCTTTATGCATAAAAAATGACAGACTGATTTGCGATCTATAATGCTACAGATCTTAAGTATCTTGAAGGCTAAACACCTTCTCCTTTTAAATTATCGAAGAATCATAGAATTATTTACATTTTTTAATTGAAAGATTCAAGAATTTTCTATCTAGTTTAATTCTCTTTGTTGCAAAAAAAAGGTTATGAGCAACTGAAGCAAACTCTAAGGCTGAAGGGGTCTGCTTTATTCTGATAAAACTCAGTATCTGTGAAGAACAACAGATTGATTAAACTCACCATTAATCACTTCCTGTCTTTTGATCTCACAAGCTTTCAGTCCCAGTAACACTTCTCGACTAACAAGCTGCTGCCAGTTAGGTGGATCTGTTTCTAGGTCATTTTCAAATTGCTCATCTTCACTCTGACTTTCTCCAAAGGCTATGCTGTCAAACCTAGTGAAGAAAAATGATGAAATCTACTTGAGAACTTCAAGTGGACAACAGGAAACTGCATAGCTCTTAATGCTCTAAATCTGATTCAGCACAGAGCCTCAAACATACTCCTTTCATACAAAATGTTTTACATATACTCTATATACTTCAATATGTGTCTTTTGATTTGTGTTCATTAAAATTTTAATTTTATACTATTTAACAAATCTATGTACAAGGCTTAAGATGGGAAATTTAGGGGAAAAAGCTCTATGTCTTAGAATGCAAAAATCCTTTATTGAATGCAATCCTTTACTGAAAGCTACTTAAGGTTTACTTACTTTCGGAAGGGCTTTGGTGTTCCATATTCTGTCAGCCTTAAAATAATGAAGAACAGAGTCAAAAGGAAACCAAAATGGAGATTTAGAAATTTATACCAAAGAATTAAATGCCAATGGCTGGATAAACAATTCTCCCAGATACAGAAATTATTTAATATCAAATAAACAGAAAATCTGAGTACCTCTCTACCATTTACTACCAACAGTGCTAATTCTTTCAAAACATTACAAAAGGAAAAATGTCACAAAGTATAGGAACAGTACCCAATTAAAAAAAACTTTAAGCAACCCCTAAACCTCCCTAAGAGCTTACTGAATTACCTTTCCACTTCACACTCCTCCTCCTGAACTTGGTCTAACGGAGGAGGAGGGAAATCAAAGATGGTATTGGAAGTACGAGGTATGCCATCCAAGGAGTCTCCAGATGCCAGTGTTTCTCCAACTTGTTTTAATCCTAAAAAGATGAAAGTCAGACATTGCCATAATGTTAACATTAAATAAAGTCAATTTATAGAAAAATTAGTCCTGAGAAAACCTATTTCACAGTAACATTATTTAAGTATTTTCAGGCTAACTAGAACCAAAATTTTAATATATAAAACTTTTAAGTGAACTAAAGAAATAAATAGGAAAATAATTTTTTAAAAGTACTTCTTAAAAATCAACATGAGACATTAGCAAAAACTCAGTTCAGAAGAAGATATGATTAGGAACAACATCCTCCCACATATCCTCTTCTAATTCCAATATCAACCTGTTACAGTGTAAATGTAGAGGTCCCCCACAGCCTGTGTGCTCCAAGGTGGGGCGTCTGGAAGGTGACAGGACCACGGAGGTGTAATGGCCATCAGTGAATGAAGCTCACTGATGAGTTTCTAGCTGACTTGCTGTAGGAAGTGGGATCTGGTCTGAAGAGGTGGGTCACTGGAGGGCATGGTCTAAAGGATTTCACTTCCTCCACTCTCTTTTGGCTTCCCAGATGCTACGCCATGAGCTGCTTTTCCTCTGCCATGCCCCTCTGCCATGGAGCCAGCCAAATATAGACTAAAACCTCCACAACTATGAGTCAAAATAAACCTCTACTCCTTTAATTTGTTGGTGTTGGGTACTGTGTCCCAGCAACAACCAAAGTAACTAAGACAAACCCTTTTTCATGTTTTCAATTTTAGTTATTATAGTGGTACAACTCCAAATAATTACCTGTTATTTTTTTCTCTTGATTTATTATCTTTAGGCAATATCTATTTCTTTCCCTCCTGATGATTTTGCTCATTTATCCTTCCCATACTCACTTTCCTATAGTCCTAATGGGACCTCTACCATACACGTGCAGCCCTAACTGCTGTTACGCGCCACATAACTGTATAATGAACAACATGTATGATGAATGGGAAAAAAAGGGATTCATCCCTACAGTGTCCTTGGAAATGTTAAATACACTAAGAAAGTTTGATGTTTAATAATTGTACTGTTAAATATGCTTAATAGTTATATTATTATATTACGCCAGCTGGGTTATTAGTTATTACCTAAATTAAAGTCTGGCTGGATATATTTATGTTCCATCAAGGAGTTTGTATCTCAACTCTTTTCTGTTAGATTTGGGACTTAGCAAAAAAAGGCCCAATCAACTCCCCAGTCTTTGATTCTTAAATATGTACATCATTATTTACCTTTGGAAAGAAATATTTGGTTATTAGAGTCAATTCCTAAGATTAGCACATAATGCCAGACATATTAAATACATATTAGTATACATATCCTTCCCTCTAATTGTTATTTCTTTCCTTCAGCTTGTATTTCTTTCACCTGTATTCTTGTTTATATTAAGATGATTTCTGATGTTTATATTCTGACCTGAAGCCACGGGAAAATAGTCTGTGCTTTGCTTAGTAGAATGATTCTAAGAGTCCAAAAATCAATAAAGCATGCTGACATTATAATATGCATGTTATCATATACAATCTAGAACATACATATACACAGTATCTTTGTCAGGTTAAGGGATATGCTAGCTGGGATTATATTTTCTTTATTTATTAGTCCGGTGGTGCAACCTCTGCCTTGTAATAGAATGATATACTACAATCGCATACTCCATTAACTGCCACTTTATTTTGCTTCCAGTTTAAAGCATGACTTACTTTCTTGAAAAACCCCATTTTTGTTACCATATGTAAATGCTTTTCTTTTATTGCTGCCCACGTAACCTAGTTTTATCAATTCTCAAATTTTTTTCATCTGCTACTTCATACTGTCAATTGCTTAAAATCTCCCTTTTTCCTATCTTTGCTATGTTTGTGTTCCACGTGGAACAGTGGCTCCCCACACCTGTGACACCAACATTATCCTAACACTCCTTTTGCCATTCTCCTCCCATGACATTTTCTTCCTTAACTTTTCTCATTTTGTTATAGTGTATAGCCTCAAGTAACATACAAGGAAAGGGTCCATTTCAGCCAATGTAGGATTCTTGGATATTGGGAATATCTTTCTTCTTTCTTCCTATTTGATGGATAGTTTAGGCAGATGTATCACTCTCAAAAGTTATTTTGAGAAATAACTTTTTAATAAGTTATTTTGAGAAAGCTCAAGGCAGTGCTCTTTTGTGTTCCAGCCTCCACTGTTTAGGTTAAAAATGTGCTGCAGTATAATTCCCATCTTCTTTCTCTTAAAAGCTTTTAGTGCACTTATGTTGAGGAACATTGTAGGTATGGGCCCTTTTCCTCTCACTGATCATACATTTCATTCATTATGCAATTATTTGCCATATAACAACATTTTGATAAAACATGGAATGAATGTATGATCATGGTCCCATTAAGACTATATCACCTGCTGATGTCCTAGCTATCTTGGTATGTGTAAGTACACTGCATATGTAATGTTTGCCCCATCTTAATTGCCAACTGCACACTTCCCAGATTACGTACCCATTGTTAAGTAACACATGACTATGCTGATTCTTAGTGGGCCCTTTCTGTGTGAAAATGTGTGTTCTTTTTACCTCTGAGAAACATTTTCCTACCTCTCCTCCATGTTGGCATTCTGCAAAAGAGATAAACATTGGACCTCTGTAGTGGTTTTCTATTTACTTTTTCAAATTTTTCTCAAATGTCTATGCTTTCATATTTCTTAAATGCATTCTGAAATTTTAGGGACTTTTTTTCTCCCTTTAAACAATAGTGATTATGGTAGTTTGAAAATATGTTGACAATTTTTTTACACTCCTCCTTTCAAGAGTGGATCCTAATTCCTATCTCATGGAGTGGAGGCAAGATTTAGTGACTTTTTTCTAATTTGCAGAAGAAACAGTGCGTACCTACATGATCTAAAACATAAAATACAGTGATACTTTTTTCTTGCCCTCTGTCTTGGGTCCCTCTGAAAAATTCAGTTTAACATGTCAAAGTGTAGTCAAGCAGCTACATATACCGAAGAGCTGAGGCACTAAGAAATAGGTTCCCTACCCTCGAGAGATCCCAAGCCCACCTAGCTAAGCTGCTATCAAGTTCTTCACTCACCAGAAAGTGAGGTAATAAATGTTTTTTTGTGTTAATCAGCTCACAATTGTTGTTGTTTTATCACACAACAATTAATAACTAATAAAATATTTGTTGTATTGTACTTAATAGTTATATTTTTAAAAATTTGTCTCTGAGTGCTGCTTTTTCATAGGATCCTATTCTTGATTTACAGATACAATAACTTCTGCAATGTTCCCAAATATATCATCTAATATAGAGGTAGTCTTCTGAAGTTCTTATCAAGTTCCAAAATCATTTTTTTCTTCTAGAGAAAATTTTTCCAGTTTATTGTGTGTTCTCTATACCTGTATTTAATATATCTGGCATTATGTACTAATCTTAGGAATTGACTCTAATAAGCAAATGTTTCTTTCCAAAGGAAAATAATGATGTACATATTTAAGAATAAAAGACTGGGGAGTTGATTGGGCCTTTTTTTGCTGCTATATGGAAATAATTCTGTCCAACTGAAGGCTCTTTATGTAGTGAGTCCCTGGCATGCCTACTGTCAGGGTCAGGTCCCCAACTGTCAAGACCTCAGGAAATCAACTCCATGAAGAATTTAACTCTCCCTAAACAATTCATTCAATTTCCATTAAAGAAAAAAAAAGCTCACTGGTTTTCTTCTAGTCCATAAATGATAGACTAGCTACATTCTATAAAGCAGAATTGCTTACATTTTATACAGGGGTCAGAAAATGCTGACATAGCTATTCATAGACACTCAACTCATTCATCATTTTTAGCTCTATTTCATACTCTGGCACATGCCAACGCTGAGCCCAAAGTCTCTCCATGGTTCCAATGGGCAGAATGCCTTGCACCTTAGCCTATTTAAACAAATTAGCCTCTAGCCTTCTTTATGTTGTTTTATCTACTAAATCACTCTTGTCCACTTTCACTCTCCCAAATATTTGCTGTAAACTCTCATTTGATAATAACACATTTCTCATCCTCTACTCTCCTTCTCTGTATGGTTTTTATTCCCTGACCACTGTGTTTTTATTTCCATGAGTCACACGAGCCATGAAATATCAATGCTATACTCTATCAGAATGGCACATCTCAGAAAATCCTCAGGCAACACTCCAAATGTCACCCCTAGTTTGCTTCAAATAGAAATCTGCCATGGGGAATAAGATTCCACTTCTTTGGCCCAATATTCTGAAAAAGAAATTAATATTTCTGTCTTAATCTGTGTATTTTAAGGTGGAGATGCAGTGGGTAGCCTTCTTGTTCCTCTATCCAACTTTTAGACCAGTATCTTGCTCTCATTTTGTAAAATCACAAAATGATTTAATTGTTTCATTAAAGCTCTCATTCTCGGGATATTATCACACGTTCTCCCTCCTTACAACAATTATCTAGTAACCTGCTCTATGACACACCAGTGACACTCCCACAGCCTTATCCTTGAACGTGTCATCACCAGAAACTGACCTGCTTCAAGAATCATGAGCACAGACTGGCATTCTTTTCTTTCTTTAAATAAAACCACTTATACACCTGGTTAACTTGTCTAAAAAGCCAGCTGTAACAACTATGAAGAAATAAGCTCCTTTAATAATTATCTACAACAATTACTTCTTTTGTCCCTTTAATTTTCAAATCTCCTTGCCTCTCTCACTAAAACCTCACTCAGCTAATAACCTTGCCTTTTACATATATCCTGCATCACCCCTCCTCTCCTCAAAACTTTGCTCTGTTGTTAACATAGTCTTACTCTCACATATTCAACCTCTTTACTCTGCTGGCTTCTCATTTAACATTTTAAAAAACTCTCTAGGGTCTCAGATTTTTAGTCTTTAGATCCCCAGCATCTGCCTCTAACTACTCACCATCTCCCTCAATTTTTCTATTACCTTGCTTTCCTAGACTTACCACAATCTGAATTTTTTTGTGTGACTCCCTCCCTTATGCGACTGAGGGTCAAGAGGCAAGCATTTGTGTATAATTATTATTATGTGCCAACATCTAATACAAAGCTACTGACAGAAAATTCAATAAATATTTTTTGGATGGATAAGAACTATAATTATCATCACTGATTTGTCATAGGTTATAGAATAGTAAAATGTTAAAATCAAACTAAACTGAAATTCAGCCTGACTTAGAATACTCTGCCTCTCTATCATTTGATCAGTGTATTTGTTTTAAAATCCTGATAGTTAGGTTGACTTTTACTACTAGCTCACCTATATCATTCTCTTTCCCACCTTCCTGGGAAAGAGTGACCCCTGCAGTCGAAGAAGACATGGAATTGGTAGGCAGGTATCCAGCATCTGTTCCTTCATTTGCTACACCACTCTGACGCAACTTAGCAATGTCCTGAGGTTCAGGACTCACAGAGGAGGGTGTGGATAAGTGCTTAGGGTGACGTGCCTTCTGTAGTTCCATTGCCCTGCCAACTGAACAGAAAGCAATGATAAGTACTCTATGTTGCAAGGCAGCTCAATAAAAAGAGATAAAGTAAAAATACTCTAAAATTATTTGTGGAAAAATATAAAACAAACTATCACACAGCACAAAGAATATATAGAGAAAATGAAAGAAGGTAGGGAGACAGAGAAGGACAGAAAAAGAGGGAAGGAAAGGCAAGGAGGGACAGACAAGTTAAGAAAGACAGAACAATGGAGGAGGGAAAGAAGGAGATGAAGAAGAGATAAAGAGAAAAGGAGGGAGAAGATGGAAAATCAGAGTGAGACGGATGAGGCAGAAGGTGAAGGATCACAAGAAAAGGAAATAAGAGTATTAGCAGGTAGGGGGAGACGGAATGCTGAGAGATGGACATCTATGGAGCTGTACCATTTGTAAGAATAAAGACTGTGAGCAGTTTAGCAAGCCCCGACACCACTTTTTCGCCAACACTTGCAACTTTGTCATCACATACACCTCATCCTGTTCACTATCTTCTTTCTATCAGCCAGTACCAGAAGCTACAGATGCTCTGGTAACCATCCTCCACTGCACAGTACATCCTCAAACAGCTGTATGTCCTGTCCTTGTCTTCCCAAATTCCTAAAACTCTCTGCGTTGTTTGGAAGTCAGGGTCAACATCTGTAAGATTCTCCATCTTCTCAATCTCCTTTCCAAAAATTTCTTCCATCTACCTGAGTATTTCTCAACCAGGAGCACTAATGGCATTTGAGTAAAAAGTCTTCACTGTACAGGACACTCAGAATCGCTGTTCCACAGCTCATTTCCACCCCATCACACCAGCATCTTCAAATGTCAGCTGTCTGAGATGAGAAGTACTACCTGACCTAGTTACCTTCTCCAAAGTGCTACCATCCTTGTTTTTCCTGCAGCCCTCTCTAATGAGCTGATCTTTGCCCACTGGTCCTGGGAGAGGAGGGAGACCAGAAAATATAAACACAAGCTGGACATGGTGGTACATGCCTATAATTCCAGCAGTCTGAGAAGCTGAGCCAGAAGGTTCACAAGTTTGAGTCCAGCATTAGTAACTTAGTGTCTCAAAACAAAAAATGGGCTGGGGAAGTAGCTCAGTGAAAAGGCCCTGGGTTCAATTCCCACAACAAGATAAGACAACAGAAAAGGCACAATGAGTGGTAGAGAAATAGGACTATGGAGAGAGTAAGTGGCACATTAAAAGGGAACAGAATGAAATATGGTACAGGGATCCACATATAATCTTTTGTTTAAGTCTAACAAAGTGGAATGCAAACAAAATCAGAAGAGATAATTAATGAGGTTATGAGTATCTGATAGAATGCTGTCATTAAAGAAAATGTTTATGACAACTATATAGAAGCTATGGGGTACTTAGTTCACACACAGCACTGAAGAGAAGCCGAGCACAGTGGAAATTCAATGACATCATCTCAAAAGCACCTTCCTCCAACTCATTCCAGTCAAATGAGCCTCTGATATAAATACAGAACAGTGGGAAGGCAGCATTTCAACCTTCAACATACTTGCACTATTGTCATGACGGCTTGGTCTCCTTGGGGGTCCCAGGATGCTAGGAAATCCTCTTCGCTTCCCTTTTTCTTCGCCTTCTTTATCTTTCTTCATGCTTTGCTAGAGTTGGAGCATAATTAAAGAGATAAAAGATACTAACACACAGTAGATTTGCAATTTTCAAATGAAAATGTAATGCTGATGGTTAATTGAAAAAAATAGTTAAATGTAAATGAAAGTGTACACACATATACCCATAACCAAGCACTCACTAGAGATTGGTACACAGCTTTGCAGACATCAAAAGCTCAAGATGTCTATGCAAACACTTTAGAGATAGTAATTTTTATTTTTTGGTATCAGGAATTGAATTCAGAACCTTGCAGTTGCCAGGCAGGCACTGTGCCGCTGAGCTATTTCCCCAGCCCAGAGATACTAATTTTAGAAAATAAAAGGGCAGTTTTACCAGGAGCTTCTTAACCATGAAAATTTACACATTTACCAGGAGCTTACTCTGAACAATTGATTCACCCATTCAACAATTTCATGATGGGGGCTGGGGATTTAGCTCAGCGGCAAAGCGCCTGCCTGGCAAGTGCAAGGTCGTGAGTTCGGTTCCCGGTACCGGAGAAAAACCAAAAAAAAAAACCAATTTCATGATGTATTATTATGCCTAGTGATAACATGCTGATTTAGTAAATATTAAGGAAAACACTGCAATCAAGTGTAAAGAAGTACCAAGCCCTGAACACTCTATTATTATTCCAGTCTTACTTTGATTTTTGGAAGGAATCCAATCCGACCCCGCTTGTGCTCCAAATTTCGAGGTTCTTTCACTTTTACTCCCAAATGTTTCATATACATGAGAATAACATACTGCATTGTGGAACTGAAGGAGAAACATTAAATGAAATAAGACTTCTGAGAAGGAAAGGTTGGCCAGAATAGAGACATCAAATGATTTCTAAAGCCACAATGTTGACTCTTAAAATTAAGCAAAAACAAAGTAAAAATTATCTTCAATGCACACAGAAAATGATTCTACTTGTACAATACTAGAATAGTAGTCAAATAAAATACAGGCCACCAGAGGGAGACCACACTGTACATTTCTAAATTAAAAGACCTAGACTGTAATTTAGGGCTACAGAAAAAAGTCAACTTTTTTTTTAATTCGAGGAAAAAAATAAAGTTATATTACCTCTTTTCTTCTTCTACAGCTTGAGCAGTCATCCTAAAAATATTTAAAAAGGAAACATATAAATTTAATGAAGGAGTTGTTATTACTCAGAGACATAAAACAACAGAACAGAACCAAATGCTTTGGGCCTCACCTAAGTCTGCCATCAACAATAAAATACCCAAGGAATCCTAATTCTCAAAAGAACCACACACCATTTTCACATTCATGTCATCAAGTTAATATGTTTATAGTAAGAAATATTTTCAAAGCCTACGCATTAAAACCAATGAAAGTATTCACCCAGTTTTGATTATGGATTAGATTTTTTAGTGTTAGTCATGTGCCAACATCCAGAAAAAGAAACACAAGAATTTTATCTAAAATAAAATATTGGGGGAAAAAAAAGTTTCTCAAGTATTATGACAAAATAAATAGTTCCATATACACAATCTACCCTTTTAAACTTTTTTTTATTAGTATGTGTTTGAAGTATATTCCTTGTATGGAGTTGGTACATATACACAGTACATCTTTTTTTTTTTTTGGTCTTTTTGAGACAGGGTCTCGCTATGCAGTTCAGGTTGGCTTTGATCTCACTTTGTAGCCCAGGCTGGTCTTGAACTTCCAACGATCCTCCTGCCTCAGCCTCCCGAGTGCTAGGATTATAGGCATGCACCACCATACCTGGATTACACAGTATATCTTAATAGTTTTTTAAAATCCCCTTTTCGTCCCCTCCTTTTTTCTCCCTCCATCTCTTGATCCCCTCCCCATTTGAGAAAGATCTACTTCTCTACTTCTACTATCTATCTTTAATTTTGCTCTTTATTTATAATTTGGTTCTCTTATATAAGAGAAATCATGCAATATTTAAGTCCTTGTGTCTTATTTATTTAACTTAACATTATGTGCAGCCTACACATAATGTCTCAAAGTGTAGCCATTTTCCTAGAAATAAATCAAGTTTATCTTTCTTTATGATGAGGCTGCAGGGGGAAAAAGGAACTCTTCTACACTGTTGGTGGGAATGTAAACTAGTACAACCACTATAGAAATCTATATGGAGATTCTTCAAAAAACTAAAACTAGAAATTCCACTTGACCCAGATATTGCAGGTATTTTTGCAAAAGAGTTAATGACATAATACTTCAGTAATACATGCATACCCATGTTTATAACAGCACAATTCATAATAAATTAAAGTTTGGAAGTGGCCTACACATCCATCAACAGATGAATGGATAAAGAAAATGTATTTCCACACAATGAAGTACTACTCTGTCCTTTTAAATTTGTTCATAGTATTTCAAGTATAATTAGCAATTCCACATGCACTTTTTTTTTTCCCACATGTACTCCTATTACTTACAATACTTCTTCGATTTTGGAAACAATCTGTTCTGCACATGCACGCTCCTTCTCCAGAGTTACCCGGTCCTTGTCTCGCTCTGCATCAAGTTTAGTCAGCTCACTTTCAGCCAAGGTTAGTCCCATGCTACGTTTCTGCCTAAAGGGAATAGGAGAAATCTCCTGAGTGGCCTAGAGAAAAATCATCTCTCTCTGGACAGGTTTTATCAGTCTCTATAGCTATACATTTCTGGAAACAACCAAAATGTCAGAGTTTCACACTTATAGGTCCGTGTCACCTGGGACACCAGAGAGGAAGAAAGTCCAAAGCTAATCATTCAAAGATATATCTCTTCATTATAGGCATAGTACTGAGTTCAAATTCTGAAAATACATATAAGGGATGAAGACTATGAACTTTTATTTCCACTCTAACCCTTTGACTTCACATGTTCATTATGTTTTAATAATGGAGGTAAGATCATATGATTTACCTAGTGCTGTTAAGTTTTTAATGTCTTTTTCCTACTTAAAAAAATTCAGAATGACCCTATCAGGTTTTGTCTACTATCAAGCTTACCGAAAATCTTCCAAGTGCCTCTGAACTTCTGGGTGGACTCTTTCTTGCATAGTTTGGATATAGTGGCGATGCAGATCCTCAGGAATAAGCTCAGGTCTTCTCTTCTCTGCATAAAGAAAAAGGAATTATTTACTCTAAAGGTATATCTCAGGAAATATATAATATAACTGACAACACAACCATGCTACTTTGTAGAAATTTAGCTTGGAGGACACCAAAGAGAAATTCTTCAGTGTAGTTCTTGCATTTCACCTCAGAATTTGGATTTCAATCTCTTTAATGAGTTACTGACTCTCCTTCTATAGAGATTCAGGTGACTGACCAATCACCAAATGACAGATAAAACTGTTAGAGCTGAACTGAGCTACATAACTACATAGATTTAATTCTGCAGAATACTGGTGTTCCAAACTTACCTAGGTCTATAGATATTTCATCAGGAACAGAGACTTTCAGGTGCTAAAAGAAATGCAAACAAAAGGTGAAACAGCACTACAGACAATTCATGATGTATATAAACTCCTGTATGAAGTAAAGGGATACAACCTGGATACCTAATCATGTAAGGATATATACATACAAGCTTACCTACTCATCCATATTTCATAGTTCTGGAATGTGCTATTGTTGAAACTTAAAAATAAGACTTTTTCAAGTATTACACTCTAAAGGAAATATCCACAGTTATTTCACTGGATGATTGAATGCTTCAGTGTTGTACTTATTCGTAATAAGTACACTGAATCTGGCTTTTTAGAATTATTATTACAATCACATACACATCATTTGAATAAAATAGTTAAATTTTAAAATGACTTAATATAGAAAACCATAATTTTTATTTTGTGGATTTGAGACCCTATAGGCCATGATACTCCCATTGTCCTAAGCAAGTTTTGAAAACCTCAACAGTCACACTTCCAAAAGGAATTTCTCTGAATGCCAATGTTGAAATTTTTGGAGTCTTAAACCTTCATTAATCATCTACATAGTTCTTGCCTCTGAACTAAGGTGACAGTCTCAGAATTTACTTCTTCCTAGTTAAGATTTTCCTTACAATAACTGCAGTATGGCGTCTTACTATAACATTGTTATGTTTCTCACTCCATGAATTTTGGGGAAATTTTTATCATTTTATATTTAGAAAAAAATGGCTTCTTCATGCATAAAACTGTGTAGTTATTTAAGTCACAAGATTTCAGAATTTAAACAATTATAATGAAAATTTGAAGCTTTAAGTTTGAAAATAAATCATTGCTAAAACATTGTAAGAGTCTTATATTCATTTTTAGAATAGTTAGATGTAGTTCAAACCTTTCTCTTTCACTGAAGCTGCCAAGCAACAATTCAAATCAACTTTCTTCAAAGTATTTCTAACATAAGTGCAAAAAGTGCACAAAAGTTCATTTACGTATATGGATACTTATATGGAATAAATACGGCTGGTAGCATAAAAGAATAATTAATCAGAATTCTTTTTCTTATTATTACTGATATAGATCATGAGCAGCAAAATATAAGATTTTTACATAGCTTAGAGCTCTACTAAAAATATGAAATTCAAACATAACTTGAATATACTGTCATTTCTTCATGATAGCAAATGTTTTTAATAAAAATAATGTGTAATATTTTAAACAATAGCAGTATAATCACATCCTAATTCATTCAACAAATATCTGAGTCACACTACCTACCAGGAACTATTGGAGACATGGCAGCGTACAACACAAAAATATCTGCTCTAATGGACTGACATTCAGGGTAGGAAAGCAGAAATATAAACAAAATTAATAAATAAAGTATAAGTTATTGGACAAAAATAACACAGAAAGCCTAGGGGGCAAGATTTTTAAGCAGGGTGGTCAAGGAAGGGTTCATGAAGAAGGCAATTATATTTGGCAATGTAAAAGTATAGTCAACTTTGTAAAAGAATACAAAGTAAATAGGGGCAGGAGCTACAAAAAGCAGTGGAGTCAAAATATTTATGTGTTTCTTTTTAAGATAAAAAGAAATAACAATGCTTGCATGATAACGTAATGACTCAATAGGAAAAATACTGATGATAAGGAAGAAAAGAGGCTAACTGCATGACGTTCTTTGAGTAGGTATAGAAAATCTACTCTGACTAAAAAGGAAAACAGCTGGCTTTGAATAGAGGAGGAACAATTCCTCAAAAGTATCAGAAAAAAGGCAGAGTAGGTGGTATAACAGAGGTAGTTGATATATCTAGTAACAGAGGTAGTTGATGTATCTAGTAAAGTTCTCTTCCCAGAGAAACAGCTGAGATTATGAGCTGAGAAAAGGTTAGGAGAGGAAGTGATAGATATTTTAAGAGAATATATGAAGCAGTCATTAAGAGAAGTACAAAGTGAAAGGATGAGAGTTACGCAGAATGATCATCCAAGAAAGCGTTAAGTGCTAAATGCTATTTACTCACAGCAATGGTAACCATAAAACTTAGTTTTAAAACTTTACTAAAATTTCCACTGCTAAATCAGGTGTAATCCCAGCACTTGGGAGGCTGAGGCAGGAGGATTGCCTCAAGTTTGAGGTCAGCCTAACTACCTAGTGAGTTCTAAACTAGAGTGAACTACATAGTGAGACCCTTCTCCAAAAAAAAATTTTTCCACTGGTAAAAGAAAGCCCCATTACCACTTATTTCACTGTTAGTGAGATCTTTTCTACCACAGTTTAGTTAAATTTGTGTCTCTAAACTTTAAAGTGACCACCCAGAGTTCAATTCTGTAAATGTTATTCCTTGGACTCTAATATATATGTCCATCATATATGTCCTCTTTCTTGTTCCCCCATTCTAATTACGTACATGTGCAAACTCAAATACACACACATAAACACCCACATGCACACGCGGGCATGTATGTACGTGTATCTCTCAAAACCTACTAGAAGAATTTAGATTTCCAAACTAATTTGGAAATGATAAAAAAGGAAAATCAGTCAAGAGTAGTCAATAATAAAGATGTAATAGTAATTTCCAAAAGCACAACAAAGTCCAAAAACATGGTACTGAAAATGGAAATGAAAGGCCAGTAAGTCAATGTAGGGAAGTAAAGATAATAACATTAACTTACTGCAGATCGATCCAGGAAGAACTGATGAAACTCAAGGAAGATGCGACGTGTTTCCTTGGAATTGGTCTGTTTATATAGGTCTGAGTAGAGGTAACAGAGCTGACATAGAGAAAGAAACAGAAAATATAAAGTGAAAAATCACCCAAAGAAAGCTACTTGCTAGATCCTCTTGAATAGGAATGTTTAGAACATGTAGGTCACCATCAACAATGTGGTCATTACCAATCAAGTCTTCAAAAAAAAAAAAAAATTCCTTCTATGCTTTTATTACTTATTCTTACATGTTTGGAAAACTGAAACTCTTTCTACTCATGCTACAGATACAAAGAGTTCTCTATGTTATATAGATTCATATAGGATCTCTGAATTGGCTAAATTGTAAAATAGATTACCAATGTTGCAGGGTCAAACTGTGAGACTACATGGTGTAAGAAAACAGCCAGATGAGCAGGGCGAGACTTCAGCAGTTCAATGCTCTGGAAACAGCTGCACTGCCCGTTGATCTAGAAGAAATAGTTATATATTAATAATACAAATACAAAATGAAACATAAATCCAAATGAACAAAGCTGTGCAAATTTCATTTTGGTCTCCCTAATAAAAACCCAATACTTTAAAAATTTCACTAAAATTTATTAGCAACACAGGCTATACAGTCTCTTCCTCTTGAGCCAGGTAGCACACATCTATTATGCCAGCTCTGAGGATGCTGAGGATAGATCAAGGAGCAAAAACTGAAATCCAGCCTGGGCTACATCTTAAACATCCTGTCTCAAAAACAAAACAAAACTCTTCCTCTGAAAATTAATCATCAAACCAGTTTGGGAGAATGGAAGTTTAGGAGGTGATTAACAAGGAGTTCTTATGTCTGCAAATCAGTATGTAAAATAATCTCTAATGGTACTTATAAAAGTATGAGAAAGGCTTTTTGCCTAGTAATGAAAGCCTGTTTGTCTTTTGGGCTAATCATAGAAATGGCAATAGAAAATGAAGCTGTCCTCTTTTAAAACAACTCCTAGAATATTTGTATAATCCCTAAGTATTCTCAACACAGAAGACTAAAGGTAAACTAGCATCATAATTTCCATATAGTTTTTCACATTTAGATAAATTAGAGAAGCTAAACTAAATAAATAGTATCAATTCTGCACAACATCTGCCAAAAAAATAGGAGATCACTTCCTAAATCATTCTCAAGCCTACCACTGTCCCACTATCGAAACCAGAGGTATTACCAAAAACAACGAAGACTACAGACCACTATCCCTCATGAACACCGATGTAAAAATCCTCAGTAAAATAAAAGCAAATTGAATCTAACCATATAAAAAAGAGATAACAGACCATGATTGATTCTGGGAACACAAAGCTTGTTCAACGTTCTAACATTAATCAGTATAATCTACCATATTCAGATACTAAACAAGAAAAACCATAGGATCATCTCATTCAACAAAATTCAACATCTACTCATCATAAGAACTCTCAGTAAGCCAGAATATGCTTTAACCTAGTAATCTTTAACCTAACAGAGTATCTACAAAAACAGCTATAAGTAACATACTTAATGATCAGGAATAAAGGAAGGATATCTCATCGCTATGATTCTATCTCATACTAGAAGTATTATTCACTGCAATTAAGAGAAGAACAAGAAATAAAAGATATACAGATTGGAAAGGAGAAATTTTAAAGTCTGTCTTCATAGAAATATGATTGTTTATGCAGAAAAGTCCCAAAACACATTTATTTTTAAAAGACCTTACAAATAATAATAAGAGAACTTAGCACACTCACAGGACATAAGGGCAAGAATCAAGTCCATCATATATGTATGTGTGTATATATATATTTATATTTACATTTCAGATATATATTTCAAATATTAGTCATTTGATATACATCCATGTATGTGTATATATATAGATACAGATATAGATATAGATATATACACACACACATATATATATATTCATCATATATGTATAAAATGAATGACTGGGATTTGATTTTTTTAAAAAATTACCATACTCAATAACATCTCACTACCAAAGTGAAATGAAACAATTATAAATCAATGACCCAACTTTTACTGTCTTTAAATGCAAAGTTATTTCTATCAGTAAAAGCTAAAACAAACAATCCAAGAAGCCACTGGTTCTAAGATTTAGTTTCAAATCCTTACACATGTTATTTTAATCTCCAGAAAATGATTATTTGTTGCAAAAAATCAGGCATTTCAGAAAGTATATTTATTTTTCACAAAAAAATGGCCATCACCTGTTCATGTTCAGTACCAAAATCATCATCCTCTGCTCCAATAATATGTGGTGTTATTCGGGTTAAGGGACTCCCGATGAATGACTGAGTGTCCTGGTAACATTTACAGAAAAGAAAAAGAAAATTTATCTGGTGGTCAAAGTCAGTGAAAGAATAAAAACAAACCATCAAAAAAATATGGTTCACTTAACTGATATGATTTATTTTTGCTAATTTACTTTGAGGTGCTTTATTTTCAAAGCAGTGGTTTACAAACTGTCAAATCCACAAACTACCAAAGGAGAGAAAACAATCACAACAGTAGTAAGTGTTCCTTGGAGAATGAGGGGGGACTAAAATTATCCCTGAAAATAGTAAATACTCTTTGATCACTACACCCTTGATTCTAATCACTTTCTGTATCCTTAATTTATTAACTACACACACCTAAACCTTGTTATAGAAAGACATAAAATGACTTATATGGTTAGGATAAAATGTTAAATTTTAAAAAGAAAAACAAGACAAAGAAAAACTGAGAGCAGAAATGATAAGAAAAAATTAGTACAACTATGAACACACCTGAGAAATACTAAAAGAAGTTTTCCATCAACTACACAAAACTGAAAGCTATCACTGAACCCTACATTTTCACTTAATTCATTTTCATAAATGCATAATACAGGGTTTCTCAACTTGGCCACTGTTGACATTCTTGGTTAGATAACTATTTGTGGGGGGCCATACTGTGCACTGTAGGACGGTTAGCAGTACCCCTAACCTCCACCATCCACCAGATGCTAGTAGCAGCCTCCCAGTTGAGATTTCCAGATACTGTCCAATGTTCCTGCATGGCAAAATCACTCCTGGATGAAAATCACTGGCATAATGCAATAAAATTTTCAAGTGATCTCACGAAAATTGCTGAAGAAACAAAGATATTAAGATTCTAATAAAAAACTGGAGGCTGGCAGATAGCACTCCACTCAGTAGCTCATCCGTTCATCTACTCACCAGGTTGGACTCAGCATGAAAAAGGCGGAAGAGAGGAAACAACGTACAGTAGGATATTTGAAGAACAAGTAGTTAAAATCAAAGGTCATGTAGGATTAAGAGATATAAAAATGTTGAAAGAAACAGAAAGAGAATAAGTTTGGCTTAAATGTGACAGCAGCTGAACATGGAAAATCTGGGGGTTACAATGATGAGCAGGGCTATACTGGCTTAGCAGTCATTGTACAGCAGTTACACTGAGTCTATATAAATAGATCCATAAATTATAAATTCAGTGAAAATTATAAATTCAAGCAAAAGTACAGTATCTGTACCTTTTCTTCTTTAAGTGTGTTATACTACATACTGCTCCTAAATATGATTGTGTCTTTTAAAAATTATTTTTTGTTTTAAAAAAATAATACTTTTAGTATTTCTCAGTACTAAAAAAAATACTTTCGTTTTCTTTAACAGCAAAATTTTAATGAAAAAAATCAAGTAAAAACAACAGAAATATTTTTAAACAGAAGATAAACAAATTTTAATTTTATAACTGACCTGATGTCTTTGATTTTTCAAGAGTCTTTATGTTGCTAATAGTTAATATACCACAAAATTTTGTTAAATCTTTCACTATAAAACTTCAGCCAGGTTTGCTGATGCACACCTATAATCCTAGCACTTTGAGAGTCTGATGCAGGGGGAGGCAAGTTAAAGCTTAGCCTGGACAAATTGGCAAAAACCTGTTCCAAAATAAAAAAGGCTGGAAATGTATGTCTGTGAGAAGGCCCTGGATTCAATGGCCAGTATCAAAAACAAACAAGCAAAAAAACCTTCAAACAAATCTAATTTTAAAATAAGAATGCTAAAAATATTCAATTAAGAGCATTTAAGAGCTAGCAGTCCCACTTGTTGGTATATAACCAAAGAACTGAAAACAGGGCGGCATTCTTCACAATAGCCAAAAGGTAGAAGGAGCCCAAGTATCCACTGCCAGACAAATGGATAAATGAAATGTGGCACACATATATCATGAAATATTATTCACGCTCAAAAAGGAAGGAAACTCTGATATATGATATATTATAGAGGAACTGAAGACACTGTGCTACTTGAAGAAAGTCACAAAAGTCATGTAACAGCATGATTGCATTTACTTGAGCAGCTGAAACAGTCAAATTCACAGAGACAGAAAATAAAATGGCAGTTGCCAAGAGTTGGAGGGAGGGATGTGTAGACTTAGTGTTTAATGAGAACCAAATTTCAGTTAAGAAGACAGATGGCAGTAATGGCTGTACAGCAGCATGAACATACTTAACAGCGACTATATACATAAAACAGTATATGTTACTTTTATGTATATCTTACCAAAATTAAACACTACCAAGCAACCTAATAATACCCTTTATTTCAAATCTTCATTAAATGCTTTTAACAAAGAAAAACACATCAAATTTGTTTATCATATCTTAAATATAAGAAAAGGTAAAAGGGCTGGGGGGGTGTGGCTCAGTGGTACAGTACATGTCTAGCATTTGTGAGACCCTGTGTTCAATCCCTTGCACCACAAAAAAGTAATAAAAATAAAAAAGTAAAGACAACATTCACTGCATAGATTTCATACTCACACTGTCCTGAACTGCGTCACTTTTCTCGGGGTTTTCTTCTGGATAAACCTTCTCTTTGAGGCCACTCTTAGGACTCTAATGAGGAAAAAAAAAAAAAAATTCTTCAGTTCAACAGGCTTACCAAAGCAGGTAAGGAAAAATAATGTACAAAAATTAGTTTTCTGAATTTTATATCTGTAAACTACTAAATATCTTTTACATTACACCTGCCTTTGCTACTTTCCTTCCTGACTTTAGGAAGTCAATCTCTCAGCTTTTCAGTTTTATGTTGATAAACAATATAGAGCTAATAAAATGGTTTTACTAATTTTCAGGCCTGGAGAGTACTTTTCTATTAAGCAACTCTAACTAAATACATTACATATCTCAAATGCATAATGTCAAAATCACATTCCATCTTCCCTAACCTTTGCCTTCCCTAACTATTCTTTTTTTCCAAGTTAAAAGCATTTTTTGACATTTATATGAATGTAATTAACCTTGTATCTAGTTTTCTGTTACAATCTCATGTGACACCTGCTATGTGGATTTTCATAAAATTTACATGAAGTGTTGGGGATGCCTTAATGCAAATTAGAAACTACATGACATGCATTCACTTTTGGAAATAAGGAACACCCCAAAGCATTCTTTATAACAACTGAAATGGAGGGACAAGAACTTGTGTATGAATGCCATAGGGAAGACATGTGTTTTCTACACATATACCAAAATATCACAGAATAGAGAAAACAGTAGTCTCAAATGTAAGGTCCACCTTGGAGAAATGAATGACTCTAAGTCTTAAGAAATGAATATCTAAGTCTTTAGATATTTATCTAAAAGATAAAATTAGAATAATACTATCACAAAAAGCAAAAAAATTTGTCAAAGATACTGTAGACTCCTGTTAAAGACCAACATAAGTGAGCTGCCAGATATCAAAAAGGGATAATCCATGTTAGGATCTGAGTTCCAAGTATTACATTCAGGCACACATGCACATGCCCCTACCTCATCTTTGGAACCGGGTAAGGTTATCAACTCTTGTGAAAAGAATCCAAGTATTTATCTTTCATTTCCTGTAGAAGTTATATTTTAAGGTAACCTAGCTGTATTGTAGGTCTTCCTGTAGAAGTTATATTTTAAAGTAACTTAATAGCAGTAAGGGAAAATGCTTCTCTATAAAATAATTGCGTCCAACAAAATATGAGAAGAATGACAAAATAATAGCACAATTCTTTCAAATCCTCTAATTAAATAATTGATCTAGACATCTTGATCATCAATGCTACTTTAAAACATTATATAGCTTGATGGGGAACTTTATAGTAAAGGACTCAGGCTGACAGCACCTGCACACCTTAAACAAACAGAACCGATGGTAAAACAACCAGAAATTCACCCCTGGTGTGATATAATGAGATGTACACAGCACCACCTACGAATTGTTCTTCAAACAACAACTGTCTAAACCTTAATGTGATCATGACTGTATCAATTTTCAGGATATAAAGATAGAGGAACAGGTTATAAAATATCATTAAAATCAATTAGAAAGGTTATTCTTTTTAAACTGGACATATGACCCAATTTCTTTAACAAAACAAAAAAATAGCAAGAATAGAAGAAAGGGGGCTGGGGATTTAGCTCAGCGGCAAAAGCGCCTGCCTGGCAAGCGCAAGGTCGTGAGTTCGGTTCCCGGTACCGGAGAAAAACCAAAAAAA